TTTTTTTATACAGCATTTAAAGAGAACCATTTAATTTGCTCCTTAAAAGTATTTGCACTATGTCTCCAACCTTGACTTTTATTCACAATACAATTTACGCTACTAAAAATATTTGACCTGCTGTGACCACCATCTTAAGTTTCAATGAGGAAAAACAACTCGATGCAGCTACAGTTAGTAAGGACTAAGATAATATGACATGATACAGATGCTGTGCATACGTTATATGCAAGTCTGTTAAGATTAGGCCCCTTAAGTAACAGACCTTTCTAATATAACTAAAGCTTGTCTCAGGTTTTTTTTTGTCATGAAATTTTTATCACATCTATGTACGGAGGCATAACCTAGCATGTTTTGGTTTTAGTGAAATCATTTTTTAAAAGATTAACTTTTCAGATAAACAACCTGCACATCTCTGCTACAAATTAAAGCGGAAACTAAAAATTAAAAAGAAATGTTCCGCACATCTTTCAGTACAAAAGTATGGTAAATTCATGCATTATAATTACATGTTGTTTGAACCAAATGAGTTTTCCAACCTCAGTATGGCCAGTATCAAATACTGCCAATTCATTCTTGACCACAAAGTAGAATAATAAAAATTAAACAAATTTAATTCAAATAACATTTAATTTATGTTTTTGATAAATCTATCTGTAACAAAAGTTCACAAAAATGAACTGTTTTAAATTGCTATGAGGGTTTCATGGCCCACTCTCATTGTTTACTTTGGTCAGTTTAGTTGTAACACTGTTAAAACTAACCCCACCATGTGGAGGCTGTACTTCGAGGGAGTGTTTTGGCACAGAATCAGATTTACACAACTTTCTACTTAGCCTACCCCAGATGTGATCAATCAGTTAAGACATGTTTGGTATCCAGATTTAGCACTGGAACTAAACTAAAGAAGCAAAAAGTTCATGAACTTTAACCACATGAAGTTTAACCTGAAAAAGTCTGTGTTACATCTGACCCCACAACAGGTTTTTTCCTGTGCTCTCCTACAGCAGATTTATGATTCTAACAAATGGCTTTGAGTCAAATGGTGTCTCTCTCTTTCTTTGTTTATCTAGGACCACTTGTCAGTAGTTCTTAAACAGTGGCAAAGAAGAAAAAGAAAGCTAAATTCTAATCTTAAGAGGTACAAAATTGGTCATTTATGTACACCAGTGGTAAATCATTATCAGCTACATTGAAAATCAAGAAGGTGTAAAACATATATGAACTGATCTTTATAGAATCAAAGCATCGCTCTCAACAGATATGATGCTGCAGTTCAGTGGATTTTGGCTCTATAGTATTGAGTATGAGGAGGGATTGCCCTGAAATGGCTGATCCTCAATGAGCAGTGAAGGTCAAGCCTCTCGTCTCTCTCTATAAATATGATGGTCTGTCCCACTGGGTCCGCCTTACCGCCTGGCTTTTCCACTGTCTCAGACACACCACACTGCTGCTGACCATCTACATGCGATTCGATACCACACACTTTCTCCCCCCCCACCCCCTCACACACACACACACGCAAACACACACATACACAGACTGGAATGTCCTTACTGTAGCAGGCTGTGTACAGACAAAGCCTGATCTCCATGGCTATGGCGGCCACAATGCTGGTATAAAATATGCTACCTATATATGGTGACTGATTTTAATGCTCAATATAATTTATAATTCAGCTTCAGATCCAATCTACTTAAAAGTACTCACACCAAGCATAAAAGTACTCAACCAAGAATCAGTCAACCAAGACAACAAGCATTAAACTGCTTCTCAGCACACCATGAGAGGGTGTGGTGACGGTGAACAGAAATTCAGATCAACTGTGTATGCCTATGAAACTGTAATTGGAAACAGTTAGAAAATATGGCAGAAACATAGAATTCCTAACTGTACTAAAGCAAAAGCAGTCACTTAAAGGGGAGCTATTATGCTCATTTTCAGTGTTCATAAATTTATTTTTGGGGTCTACTACAATAGATTTACAGTGTTCCAAAAACACATTAATTTACTGTACATCTCTATTTACCCTCTGTCTGAAACTCTGTTAGAGCTTCTGTGTCTTTAAGCTCCACCTCCCGATGAGTCCAGTGTGTTCTGATTGGTCAGTTCGCCTACTCTGTACTGATTGTTCAACCACCAGAGCTGCATCCAGCTACAAGTTCCACCCCTATACTGCTGTGGCTATTTTTCCAATAGCATGTCACTACCTGATTTGAACCGGAAACCAGATTTGGACTATGCATGCACGAAAATGTACGTCAACCAACCTGATTTGGACTATGCATGCGCAAGAATGTCACAAAATGATTTCAGAAATGACATACGTTGACTGCGCATGCATTCAATGCTTCAAATTGGGTTTCCAGTTCAAATCAGGTAGTCACATGGCGTCAGCTCTGCGGTATCAGTTTAAGTCAGACTCCGATCCTGAAAGTTAGGTAGAACAAGTTGGTAGACTCCACCTTTGCAAGCTAGACTTGAGCAGCACATCACAGAGTAGTATATTTTAACTTTGTAGCTCTTGTATGAGGGAGTCCCAAGCTTGCCAGTAGGTAAGCAATAAGGATTGTGTTATTAGATTGCATCATCTTGTACTACAGGTAAAGGGTGGGAATTCCAATGAGACGTTTCTGTGTACTTTGGGCTTTGTGACTTTCCAGGCCTTTTACATACACAAAAAGCTATATAACACACTAAAGAAAAGGGAAAAAACAGAAAAGCACAATAGGTCATCTTTAAAAATACTCAAAAAAGTACAAATCTATGAAATCTTCTGTTAAAAACTCCTTGTTGGGGGGAGGGGTGGGGCTGGACAAATTTGCCAAATAAATCCTCTCTCTCTTGGAACCTATTAACAATGTAATATAGTTGTAATGAAACATGTATTTCCCAAGTGGTAACTTTATAGGAAAGGAAAAAGACTGTTCTTAACTTTTAATCAAAGTTCCAAGTAATTATGGACCATTTCTAACAGACCATTCTTCATGAATTTCACACAATGTAAAAGAAGGCTGGCATTTTCAAATTATATATAAAAAAGATACAAGGCTTTAATCAGATTTATATAGCATGTACTAGCTTTCAAACATTTAAAATAATTCATAAGGTTAGTAATTGTTGCTATTTTATTCAATAATAATGTAAACAGTGTAGATTGAAGGGCTATAAGCTAGACACCTAGACCTAGACAAGAAGGTATTTTAAGATATTTTATGCAATATTTCAAATTTGAGAACATCAAGTTATTAAATGAGAAATGCATACTGTAATTATCTATTTATAGTACTTTCTTGATACCTTATCTGCTCAGTTTATTCAAATACAAGGCATTACTTAGAATTACATAGTATTAATTTTATTATGACTAAATTCTCAATGTTATATAGATTTTCAGTCATTGTAAAATCATATATGACTGTTCATCATTCTGGAGTTGAAATGTGTGAATATTTTAAGTAGTAGCACTTTTAAAAAATCATATTTTTCATGTATCAGCAAAAAAGTAGTTTTATTTTATTGAAAAGTGATTCCAGACTTTTGACTGCTAGTGTATGTAGCCTACACATTTGCATATGACCATCTAATAAAGACCTATGTGCTACTGTATATAATGTCTTTTTCATGAATTATATATCACATTTGAAAGAGGTTTAATTGCATCTAAATGTAGACTAAGCAGATAGCCTCCTTAATCTCCTTATTATAGCCTACTGTAAATGTCATTCATCCTGTGGAGCGAAGAAATGAATGTTCCCATGGCAACTAAATGCCTATTTCTGCTGTATTTCATATGCTTTTGTCTCATCCAGTGGGTACGCACAGATCAAACCGTGCTACTGAACTACTGAATGAAGCACACTCAAGTAGCCTTCATCTATCAGTGCAATGAAAAATGCTCTCAATTTCCATTTAGTAGGACACGCACAGAAATGTCTGGTCAATGTATGTAGGATGTAAGCAGAATGTCCACGACTGGGACAATGCTTTTCCTTCTGTCTCTGTAGGTATTTCACACTACAAGAAGGTCAAGAAAATGAATATGAAAATGCCTTCAGGTGCTGGACATCATCTGGCACCACACTTCACTCATCGCCATGGAAACACACAATGCTCTTACCATAGAGCTAGAGTTCTACATTTGTAGGTCTTGCAAGCAAAACTGTAAAACCAAATATTTTATTTGGGTTGATTTCACCAAAGCATGTGCTGAGAGCACTGTAGTGTTGCAGGATATGCATATAATCAAAGGTTACAAAAGCAAAACAATGTATAGCATGTGAGAAACTCATAATCTTGGTATCATCATCCCTGTATTTAATCACATGTCCTGTTTTGAGGAAAGAAACAACTTACGGATGTAGAAATAGCTCACAAAATGTAAAAAGAGACTGGCATTTTTAAAATATATAAATAAAAAAAGACAAAACACAAAGTTACAAGGCTTCGTTCAGACCATAAATGGGATGCAATAGTGTTCAAAAGTTTGGAATCGTTGTCATGTTAATAATCGTTGCTATTTTATTCAATAATAACTTCTAAAGTGTAGACTGAAGGACTATAAGCTAGACACCAGAAGGTATTTTATTTAGTATTTCAAGTTTGTGAACATCGAGTTATTTAATGATAAATGTACGCTGCAATTATCTATTTAAGAATCACAAGTATTCTTGTCGTTCAAGTCATAAGATCTTAGTATGACATATATCTTGCAATCCTCATCCCTGTATTTAATCATGTCTTGTTTTGAGTACAGAAGCAACTCACTGATGTAAAAATAGCTTTAGGCACCCATTGATAAACATACATATGTGCATCTTCCAACTAGTGCGTGACCGAGGCCTCATGTATTTCATTCAAAAAAATCAACCCAAAACAAGCAAAATGTATCAAAATGAGGTTCGTGTTTCTAGACAGTAAATATAAATATATCCCCACTCATCTGATAAGGCTCCTTCTCCACAAGCATGCCTCGAAACCCAGTTTATCTTCTTCCTCACCTTGATGGATCCATTCTGTTAGTTCAGTTCCCTCCTCCAAGGCTAAACACTGCATTTCCCATCATCAGTGTGCCACTGCCAAGGGTCCTATTTTTCACTGTGTGCTCCTCACTAGGCTCTGCTACTAATCCCTTACTCTCATACAAGAGGAGTGGGAAGGAAATGGAAAATGATCATGTTTCTTGGCATAAACACCTGGTGTGTTGATTGGCTGAGGGAGGCTGGTGGAGATGTCTATCACCGTGACAACGCTATGCTCGCTGGCAGCAGCCAGAGGAGAATATACAGGGACAGAAATAGATTTCAGCTTGCTCTGGAGCTGCACAATCCCGTCACAGAGGAAGGGAGGGAAGGCCAGGGGGAATGCGAGATGAAAGATGAATACAGCTATGAGAAAAGATGAATACAGCTATGGGAAAGCAAGGACATTAGCTTAGAAAATCACAGCTGCATCTCTGCTGTCGAGTGGCTGTAACTATGGGTTACGTCTGCCACATGTACAGTCTCTCTTTTTTGTACTGTGTACTAGCTGAACATTGTATAGGCACCAACATAAAGATATGGGATGGTTAAAACATGAAGCTATGGTATGATTTTTGTAGACAGGATCTTTAAGATGGACTAGCTGCAGCTCCAGCATTTCCAGCATCCTGATTGATCCTGTCAAAAAGATGAACGCAGCTGTGGTTTAATAGCCAGCATCATAACTCTCTGTTTGCAGACAGCCACCCTGAAGCTGGCAGAACTGATAGTGGCCTAAATGACCCTGAAACTCATTTATTACCCCTGACTGTGTCATGCTGGGACTGCACCAGGGCAGTGCTCTTACTAGCATAGAATGCGAGTTTTTTGTGCATGTTCACATCAAAATGAGTCAGTAATTCCAAAAGTCATGGACATGTCTTCCAAGACATTCTGAGTGAACCAGACTCTAGATGTCACTGGGGTTACTAATAGAAGGCTGGACTCGTGGAAGCATGTTCATATAACAGTTATAATGCATGCATTTCTCTTCAACAGAACGCTCTTTTTTGTTAAGGTAAACATATACTACCCATAAAAACCCTTTTCCTCACCCCTACTCCATCACACTTAGCGTCATGGAAGATCATGGAAGGCTATTAGTCTCAAAGTAAGTAGCGTCACCTGAACTCATTCATGCCATTTTAAGTTCAGTAACCACTACCTATCAGCACAAAAGAGAAGCTCAGAGTAAAGCAGTTTTGCCTACAGTACTGAGCTAGAAATACAATTTAAATAGGAACTACACCTCACTGTTCATTCAAACACTTTAACCAGCATAAGTTGAGGGGGTCTGTGATCTGCATAAACAGTGTAGTGCTATTCTTGGCACGGCTGTCCTGAATAACTCAGATAGGGAGTTTCTTGGGGGAGGGAGGTAAGCACGTGGCATGTGATGCTCTCGGATTCCCAGGCCTTTCGTAAGTCGACTATGGCATGTATTTCAAACTCCCACACACAGGTCTATTCAAATTAGCTTGTTTATGTTAGGCTTCTTTAATTTTCCTAGAGGCATGAAGATGAGATATTAGAAGGTACTTTAGATTTGGAACATATTCAATAAACCAAAACACTAAGGTTTGTTTTATTGATAATCAATTCCTTACACTGATATTCTCCTTTTTAGATGTGTACAGTATAGAGATACAGCATTACCCTTTAATTCATTTCCAGTCAAAGCGGCTATTAAGTACAGGTTTTTCATTTTTTAGGAGATATTTCTGAGGAGATTACATATATGACAATCCACTTGCACAAGGAAGGAGAAAGTCAAAGAAAAAATGCGACTCCTAACAACCAAGGAAAACCACTCTGAGAAAGACAACTCAGGGCTATGGGTCTCATAGGATGTGTGGCTGTCAGGAAGCCGTTACTGAGAAAAGGAAATAGACAAAAATTCAAATCGTGAGAAGCCAAAAATGCAACCAACTTCTAAGACTGAACTTTGGAGGTGTGAAAAAATATCTCTGCAGATTTCTTTAAAAACTAAAAGCAATCCTCCTGAAAAGAATGGAAGCTGTAATAAAGGCAAAGTGTGGACACACTAAATATGAAAATGTTTCATTATATTTAGTTGTTGATGCTCTGTGTAATTTTCTGCTAAATGTGTTTTCTGCTTTCTTTATTGTATGTAACTTAAGGGCTGTTTTGACTGGAAATTAAATAAATGCACCACAAGAGTTGTAAACTTGTTTTTAAACAATTCCAAGGAGCTGAAACTTGACTTGAGATAAGCAGGAATGTTTTAAATGTTTTCCAAAAGCATTATAATATTAACATCATCTGAACTGTGACGATGTTCAGAGTGATATCCCTCTAGCATATGACTACAATGCTTTTGAAAAGCTAAGTAAGTTCTTTAATTTCAAGATAGCATAGATGGATAAATCAGTAAGTGCTTATCAGGAGCGGCATTCGTAATGGTCAGAGTATCTGTAAACTAACAGCTTTAAAATGTATCAAACATTTATTTGAATAGTTCAGCAATTATTTAAAATTAATTCTTTGACAGAAGTTTGGTTTTTAAAAGGCTAAAGTGAGTTTTTGTCTGATTCACTGACATATTTATCACTGCAGCAACAATTTAAAACAAATATACACTCTTCCCTTATATCACCCTGAAACAGAAACACAGTGCCAACAGAATCTGATAAAATCTACACAAATACACATACTCATCCACAAGCATTATCAAAGAAGGAGAATCATTCACAATTCATTCATACAACAAAGTTCACAGTATTACAATATAAAACTTTTAAGTAAGAAAAAACACCTCAAAAGATAGTTACACCCATAAAAACCTTTGTGCAAGATAAAAGAAATCAAATGTGAATTTAATTTGAATGGCAGTGTGGATGTTTGCCATGCCCTTATGGCCATTTAAGCTATCCAAATAACTGGTCCCTTGGGAGCATAGTTGTTGAGGGCAACTAAAGGTCCCTAACTTCTAAGCTACACCGGTCAGTCGCAGAGTCCAGGCCCAGGAACAAGGCATCTCTGCAGGAGACAGAGTAGGCAGGTAAACCTGTAGACCACTGGGTTTTAGCGGATCCCATTTCAGTGGTTTATAGCCCAGCAACACCACCTGGTTTGGATAAGAAGCAAAAAAAAAAAAATTGACCTCTAAAACAGGATTTCTGTAAAAATATTCTGTATAAACTAAAAACACATTACATCAAGAAACAAGCAATAAATACATTACCTGTGTACTAGCTGACACAATAGGGTCACTCAGAACAACATATCCATTATTTGGCCATGAAAGCAAAAACGCATAGAGTGCCTTTTCCTGTGGTCTCCATGTGTACCTTTTAAATGAAAAACAAACACATTTGAACTTTTATTTAAAACTGCAAACTGGAAAACTGACACATTTGTCTGCTACTATTTAGTCAAAATAGATAGATATTTTCACTCAATACTAAGATCAAACACTGAGTTACTGATATTGATTTATTGGTATTCAAATATAATATTATGACAGAAATACTGTTAGGGGTGGACAATATGAATGATATGTATCATTACTGTGAAAAACCATGTCACATTACATCACAATCTACTTCTCAGAGCATACCATGGATACTGTCAGTAATTAAAGAACACTGAACACGTTTTTTTTTTTCATTACAAAGACAGCATAATTAGTACTATTTAATTTGATGTCCAGTAGTGTATGTTAACCCTGAATTAAAAATAATTGTAATCTGTGAGTTTCAACTATGCCTTCAACATGTGGTGGTAGAACTCTGAGAACTTAGGCTGGAGTTCTGAGCGGCTTCTGCCTGTAGCTTAGAGGCCCGACCCGCCTCATAGCTGCGGCAGGACTGAGGAACAGGGAGGAGATGGGGTGGCGGTGGGTATTGTGAACACTTTGTCACAAGAATGGAAGGTGAGGATGTGAATTTATAAGGCGTTAGATTAAAAGAAGGAGGAGGTTCAGGCATGTTCCTCCCCCCAAACTTCAGTTATAACATTACATTTATAGTTTTTAAGTCATTTTTAAACATGAGGCTTCTGGTTCCTTTTTGATTGTGCCAGCTTGTCAAACATCAGAAAATAAACATAAAATCATATATCATGCATCATGAAAATAACCTGGAGTATCATGATGCTATATTTTTGCCATATTGCACACCCCTAACTACTGTGATAAGACATATTCCCTATTAGATTTTGGATCAGCTAGGGCATCTGTTTCCCAATAATGATTCAAACCGGGAGCGCACCTTACCCAAGATCATCAGCATATCTTACATTGCCTGAGTCAACAGTAGTGTTATCACAGCCCTGTTAAATGCAGACCTTCATAATCTTTTATATCTTCTTTCAAATGCAAAAAGGTTTATTTTAATGGATTTTCACCGTCAGACATGGAGATCTCACAGCATCACTATCAATATCATTATCAAATCTCTAAAGATGTGATCAGCTGTGTGCTACACACTATGAAATTACACTGATAAAGGAACTCACCAAATCCCAGGTGTAACACTGTCATTCTGAGCTCTCCATGGAGTGGTGTTGTAGATTCCTTCCCCGTTAACATTCAGCCACTGTCCCATCTGTCTCAGCCTCTCTTCAAATATAGGAATGATGCGGCCATCGTGTGTCGGACCCACATTCATCAACAAATTGCCCCCGCATGACACAGTCTCCACAAGGGTCTACAAAGTAATCAGAGGAGCACAAACATATTATCTTAAAATTAATTTGTCTGATATTTCACTGGCAGTTAATTACTGTTCACTTTTACATCCTGCATTTGAATCCATTTTGGCTGTTTTCAATGCAAACATATGCAAACATTGAAAAATGAACACTACATTTCAAAATGACAACAAATACAATGTACATCAGATCTAAGTTGCTTAATGTCCAAAAATTCATGAGCCTGCTGTCCTTATTCTGAAGCGAGTCCTCAACAGATTTCCATGTTCTTTACACACACTACAAAGTGCCACTCATCACTGAACTCACCTTAACCAGCTGCTCAATGGTGAGGTAGTCACTTAATTTAGCATCTCTTCTATAGCCCCAAGAGCGCTGGTCAATGGTCATACAGTTCTCCCATTTGTGCTTCAGCAGGTGTCCAGGGTTGTACCGGTCAGTGCAGGTGTAGTACCCTCCATGCTTACATATACAATCTTTTCCCCAGCGATCATTAGTCACAACTGTATCACGAACAGGGCTGTAAATAAACAAACACCATGGAATATATATGGTTATACTATGACACTGACATCTAAGGAATGCTGCACAAAAAACAGAGTATTCACAATACACAGTAACATTGACAGCTACATATGAGAACATCTTTACCTCTCATTGTACAGCCAGGCTAGAAACCCTGTGCTATTCCAGTACTGGTCAGGGGCATCTCCATCTCCATCAGACCACAGCACTTCAGGTTTGTACTTGTTCACAATCTCATAGAGCTCAGGAAGGGTCTTCTCTCGTGGAAATAGAGTGGTGTTAAAATTGTTGGCTGCATCTGCTCTGAAAAGAGGGTGAAACCACTCAAACAGAGAGTGGTAGAGTCCAAGGCGCAGGTCACTGTTCTGCCTCAAAGCCCTGGCTAACTCATCCACCAGGTCTCGATTTGGCCCAACATCCACTGCATTCCAGTTCCATGAGTACTTTGAGCCCCACAGAGTGAAACCTGAGAGATTATAAAAGCTTATTTAACTTCACTTCTTTGTATTTTAATTATATTTGCCTAAAGTTCCAACTTAGTGTAAACATGAAAAGCTTCAAACTCAAGTCAAATCAAAGTCAGCTGAATGAAGTACACTATACTCAAATAGCAGAACTGTAACTCCAGAAATAAAGCTCCCTCAGAGCAAATTAAAGTTCACCATTGCAGGAAGCAGGAAAAAGGCACTGCAGAAGTGAAAATACATGGGTAATTCAGACACATGACTGGGCAATATAATAATACAATTGTACAGTTACTAAAATACAAAGTTAGATAAGACATTTAGAATTGCATTTTGACAGTTCTAGATATAATGTCCTTCAGGAATTTTACAGCTAAACAGCATGAGCTTTATGACTATCAGGCTGAACATAAATTCTGGAAATTAGTTTTTTGTAGATTATAAAAAATATCAAGAACCATTTTAACACATATGCTTTAAATATGAATAACAGATGGAGAAAGTGCTTGGTAATTTAAAAAAAAAAAAATCCTGAAATTCCCTTATTTACATGCAAAAAAGACTACTGGCAGCTTTTTTCCACACTTATTGGCCTGGAGTTTGCCCCTTAACTGCCTTTATTACGGCTCTTGGAAAATGGTTTACTGATTAGAGCCACAGCACCATCTGCTGGACCCCAGATCGGTCAAGCACAGTTCAGGTACAAGTATATGCAGTTGGCTCCTTTTCACAAATGTACATCATACACAGTCACACTAACCTTCATGATGTTTAGTTGTAAGGACAATATACTTTGCTCCTGATGCTGCCAAGATATCCGTCCACTCCTCGGGATCAAAGAACTCAGCAGTAAAGTGTGGTGCAAAGTCTTGATACTGGAATCCAGGGGGGTAATTCTTTGCCATAAAGAACACATAGCTTGGTATTTTCTGGCCTTGCCAAAACCACCTGCAGACACATTTATTTTTAAGGTTTTGTTTACTGAATCCTGCATATGCCAACAAAAAAACTACAAAACTACAAAAAAGCTGTAGTAATACTAAGACAAACTATAAAACTTATCCAGTTCTGTATTTCATAATAATCTATCGTATTTTCACCAATGTATAATATTCCTGTACTATATTAAAGTAATCTACAATACTTATGTAGCATCCATATATCAAACTATAGTAATCATCTGAATTTTCTACAGGATTCTCATAGGAATCTATTAGAAATACCTGCAGCATTAAAGCTGTTTTCATAAGAGCTAGGAAATTTAACTGTTGTTAGATTTGCAATTATAATTAAAATATGGAGTGAGATTGAAGCTTGTACAGCCCACCTCTGACTACAAGTTAAAAAAACACTATACAAAAATTAAATCTCTGAGTAGAGATGGTATGAAACCACTTTTTCTTTTTAGATTTAGATTTGATTGATATTTCAAATATTTGATAAAACTATAGCATGTTCACGAAATGCTTTTGCATGGTAGTTTTGGGTTATGCATTCTCTAGCCGTCTTGAGGACTCTTATTGTGGAGGGCCGGGGGAAGTGAGTGTGCGAGAGCTGAGAGAGAACGAGATGAGCGGAGTCAGAGAGCAAAGTGTAAGAGAAAAGCTTTGCTTATGTACGGCAGCAACAACAGCTGGAGAATAAAGCACCACGATTTGTGTGAAAGCTGTGTCTTTTAATAGCGGTGAACGCTACACTATGTTTACTGTACTCCGGAAGAGCAGAACGTTTAGGTCACACTACTGCACGAAAATGACTTCATTTTATTCATGTTACTGCAATTCTCACCCTATACAAATTTCTCTGAAATGCTAATCCAAGCAGATGCAAGTTAGTCACAACTTCCCATTTTATAAATGCTTACAGGTATCGGCAGATATGCACATTTAAAAGGATTAGATCTTTGCATCAGCCCACACTTCTGCATCGGAACACCCTTAATGTTTTTCCACCTGCAATATCCAATTTCGCATTTTCTGCTATTATCGCCCGATACTGATAGCAGTCTCTACTTCTGAGGACACCAGTGAGTTTCAATACAAAAACACTCAACAGCCTCATTTACACATTATACGACCCTCTTCGGTAGAGACAGAGGATCTTATTGTCGAGACAGTTTTAAACAGGTAGACTGTTTCAAACGTTTTTCGGTATCGCTGCAAATATAACATGAACAACTTACCAGAACCATTCGCTTCCGTAACTGGGGACCGAAAACACACCCCAGTGTATAAATATGCCAAATTTAGCTTGATCAAACCACTCAGGCAGAGGTCTGGAATCTATCGACTCCCACGTCGGTTCATACTGACAACAACATCGTCCCAAAAACAAGAAGAAGAATAGAAAACACAAACTCCGTGAGCCCATTGTGCTCTACTTGCCAGCTCTACTCAACTGAAGGAAAGTTCGCCTTTGTGGTCATACACTATGCAAATCACATGATATTTTCTGCCTCGCGCTCATGTGATCACACTTCTAGTTGGGCGACGCCAGAGAACTTGTAGAGAGGAGAATTAACACTCTGTAATGTCTTCCGGGTTTCTCAAAAGCTAGAGGGCGCTCCAGAGCGAGTCCAAAATGAATGGGTTAAGATGGAGCATTTGAGCAAAATGATAGTTTATAAATGCTTAAATACTTTTAATGTAAAAGAATGCAATCATTTCCTGAACACAGAACAGCATAAAACATTTTAACACCGCTGTTATATTTTTAAGAGCTTTTAAACTCGAGTTATAGGAGTTTAAAAAGGCGCCTCATGTATGTTCATGACGTCAGTGAGCGCGAACAGCGAATGAGCTGTTCCGCTCGCCAATCAATCATCACGCTCTAGCAGTAATGCCCGCCTTCTGCTGCCCAAAACCTGTTTACTGTAGAAAAAAGGAAATATATAGGTAAGATTTCTTTGTTTTTTAGTGAAATACATCCTTCTACTTTCTAAAATTAAAGAAACGTTCTGGGCGAGTGATTAGAAACTATTTTAACTTTTCGTTTTTAGCCGTTTGGCTCCATTCACCCCTATTCATTGAGGACTCGCTCGTAGGCGCCCTCTGCTGTTTAGCAGTCCTGTTTTTTTTTATATAACTGGGGAACAGGAAGAGGCTAGGCTCCTCATAAACCAGCTCCGACATTAGAGCCAAGCGCTGCACTTCCTCATAACAGAAGTTTCAGTTTGTGTTTATGTGGATATTGAAGGGCTTGTTGTGTGTTGTAGACTGGCTCTCGTAACATGTACACGATGTTTGACGTGTCAGGTGCTGAATTAAACCATTGACGGTATATACGTATGTAGTGCATTTGAAGTAAACGCTTTGCTGCAGATGTGAGTGAAGGCTGCCGCAGATCGCTATACCATAGGGAAAAATGTTCACCAATAATTTGTAGATCAGACAAACTGCACAATTTCTGCGCACACCGTGCTCTGCGTAATATCCGGTACAGAAAAGCTGAGCTTGCGTGAGCTATGGTTGATACTTCTTTAACATTAATACAACTCTTATAGTAGACGTTTTACTCTACCAAGTGTTCATGCAAGGATATATCGACTGCCACTGTCATATCTCTGCTGGAGATTTTGACGATGTAAGATATCTATTTTTTTGCAGCCTTAGCCCATACGGAAAAGAAATACATGTAAAATTATCGAATAAATTCATGAATATGAATTTATGAAATGGCAAAAAATCTTTTTCTTGCTGAATGTAGTGCGTAGAATACATTTTGAAATGACACAATTTATCATGTATCAAAAATACATGGCCATAGATTTGTTTTCCACATGAGAAATCGCAGCCTAAACGCTCTGAACTGACTTTTTCTTCTTTTCTTCACTAAAGGACATTGATGTTGTTATTGTGCAGGCAAAAAAGGTAATATTAGCCATTACACCACATTATAATGCATGCTTTATCTTCATGCATAGCGTCTCATGAGAAACTTGTTTGACAGCTGGTGTTTCATTCCAGGCTGGAGTTCTGGCTCTTCTTGCAGTGGCAGAACATGCTGGGGAGTTTGAGAAAATCATACAGCTGTCACAGAGGTAGGCTTCATATAGGCACAGGCAGGGCTTTGAAGGATGGATGATCTTTCTTGCAATTATGAAACAGTATATGGTTCTATATTCTTTCAGGTTTCCTGGTTTTGTGATGTCCTGTCTTGGGGTTCACCCAGTTCAAGGCCAAGACCCAGCACATCCCCGCGGGGCATTATTAGAGGTCTGAGCTGTGATGTGGTATTTGTGCTACTTTACCTCAAATCTTTCAGTTCACACTATTTGTTTGTCCTTTACAGGATCTAGACACTGCCTTACCCTTAATTGAAAAATATAAAGAACACATTGTGGCTATTGGTGAGGTAAGGTTTATAGTACAGTATTCTAATAAGTTCACTGTATTTGTATTTTCAGCAAACTCTGCCTCACAGTTAGTATCACAATCCACAAAACTGCCTTTGTGTTTGATGCAGGTTGGCCTTGACTTCACACCCCGGGTAGTTAATAATGATGCAGGGAAAGAAAGCCAGAGACAAGTGCTCATTCGTCAAGCAGAGATTGCAAAGCAGCTGAATCTTCCTCTGTAAGTCTCTGATGGATCATTCAGACATGATCAATCCATATGTGTATATCAGCTGTTTAATCAGTACCACATAGAATTCTTGTTGTTGAAAAATGAAAATGCATGAGTAGGCAACTTTTATTTTCCTTTGCTTGATGCAGCAAAGTAAAAAAAATAAGATCATCTGTCCAACAGGAATGTCCACTCAAGATCTGCTGGAAGACCAACGATTCATCTTTTAAAGGAGCTAGGTATTATAATATTTACACTACAGTGACAAATGTTGCATCTGTGATCTCTTGTTGAATGTATTAATTTAATGTTTTGATTCTTTATAACAAAAGATTTTTCTTTTGTTTAAACTAGGTGTAGAAAACGCCCTTCTTCATGCATTTGATGGAAAACCCTCAGTTGCAATGGAGGGTGTCCGTGCAGGGTATTTTTTTTCAATACCACCATCGATTGTTAGAAGTGAACAGGTAGTCATCTGGTAGAAATGGTCTACTAAACCAGCAGACTGAAATTTTAAATGAAAAATGTTTGTATTTTAAGAAAAATAACTGACAAAACATCAGTATTTGTCATTAGTGAAATGTTTATTCTCTTCTGCTAAGAAGCAGAAACTTGTGAAACAGCTGCCACTGGAGAATATGTGTCTGGAGACGGATTCACCAGCACTTGGACCAGAGAAACAGGTAGAGCGCTGTATTCATTTGAAATGAGTGCCTGTATGAACTCTGAAATCATTGCAAATGTTTACATTTTTGGATTTATGTATGTTTTCTTTGCTTTGGTTGCTGTTGGACTGTAGGTGAGGAACGAACCAAGAAATATCACTGTTAGTGCTGAGTACATTGCTAAAACCAAAGGGATTCCCTTGGAAAAGGTCATGGAAGTCACCACACTTAATGCTCTCCGTCTTTTTCCCAAGTTGAAGACATTTATCAAAATGTGACTGCGGCAAGAAGACATCTACCAAGATTTAAACAGTGTAGTGCAGTCTGTAGTTGGTCAGCGACTCTGTTTTGTTGTTTCTGCTCTGTACTCAAGCCAACTGGATACTAAATAAAAAAAGACTATGAAGTTGTGCAGAGTATGCACCTTATGCATGTCCATACTTGGTGAGCTATGTAAGAACCCTAACCTTTTTGTTCAAAGTTGAAACTGATGTATGGTGATTCATCATTCACTGTTAGAAATAAAGGTTCTGTGCAGGAACATTTTCTGTTCATCAAAGTACAAACAAAGTAAATGTGTTCTCAAAGATACAACAGTGGTTTTAAGGTCCAATTGTGTACCTTAAATAAGTTTTTCATGAATGGAAAGTGCATATTTGTACCTTTACATAACCTTTTTTATACAGAACAATAAAATAAAAAGCCTGGAGACGAGACAGGATGTGTGGAGTCAGTACAACTTAGAACATATCCTTTCAATGGATTATGGTACGATTATGTTCCCTGACTAAAGGTACTGAGATGCACACTTGATGGAACCACCCCAGTGACAGTTTCGTACCTTCTGAGAGTGTTCAGCAGGACAGTGACCTATACCATATGACAAAGTCATCGGTGGAGTTTTTCAGAGCCAGAAAGTGGGATGTTCATGCGTCTCACTTTCTGAAGACAACACTAAAGTCAAAATACCCTGAAACCAGCAGGAACTAACAGTGGCTGCAGTACAGGCCTGGCAAACCAACGGGAGATATAGAGCACTGGATGAATCACTTCAGCCATGCTTACAAAGGGTTTGCATCCAAGAATTAAATATAACAGTTTTGTTAAAATATAACACATTATAAAACTGACACTGTAAAGGTCTAGTGATCAAGGTGTATATCCTCTAGCTTTAGAGGAAAATAAATACTAGAAATGAATCTTGGTTGAAAATGTATTTTACAGGTTTTCTTTATATAATTACATCAGATTAGTTCTTTTAAATTTCTTGACATATTTTACAGGTTTTCTTTATATAAGTAAATCAGGTTAGTTATTTTATGGTCAAATATAGTCTTTTTAAAGTCAAATATGATTGTTTTTTCTTTTTTTTAAATGTGAAACAGGTGAATTTAATGCCATAATACAATAATACAATTTGATGTGAATTTCCAGTTTAGACCCTGATCAAGGTTGCATTACTCTACTTTTAAACTCCTATGATAATACACGAGGATGGACATGAGGCCTCAGTGGCTGCAGCACGCATTCAGTAACTGCAGAACGATGGAAAAAGATAGGAATAATGGATTATGGTCTCATAGAGCTGTCACAAAAAAGTGAAGTCCAAAAATATTCATAGAGCTGTGCTGGATACAAGCTGATGGTCACCACAGACATTAAGTAAGTGTTAAAGGAATGGTTAACAGAAAAATCAAGTTTGCTTAATTTGCCCCTTACCCTAAATGTAGCTGAACAGTCAGGCATGTTGGTGTCTGAAGTTCGCCTCTTTAGTTTTGCATTGGAGCTACGAGCCTACGCCCGAGCCGCCGCGGGTCTGTTATCTTATCCGGGAATATCGAGAAAGTACTACACCAGGCCTGACTGGACTTAAATGTAGTAGACAACGGACGGGTAAGTAGAATCATCAGGAGACAGGTAAGTGCCTTTAATGATATAGACAATGTCCCCTTAACTGCTACCATTCCTCTCTGTTTCTGCTGTCTCAACCCTAAAGCTAGTTGTGTAGGGAGATTTTGCTCCAAAAACGTCATTAGAGTCATCAAACCCCGTGTAATTAAAAAATCGAAGAAAAACGTGCGCGGTCATAACCCTGATCATTCAATTTGCGTGGACCTTAAAAAGACCAGTCCCCCCCAAACACATAGTGTAACTAGCAGAGAATTAAACCTCGCTCTACTCAGTGTAAGGTCACTAAATAACAAAACCCTGCTGATTCAAGATCTTATCAAGGAGCATAAGCTGGATTTTATATTTCTGTCAGAAACATGGCTCAGTGATAATGGCACAGCAACTTTACTTGAAGCTGCTCCTGAAAAGTACAGATTTATGCATACAGTAAGACAGGGCAGACGAGGAGGAGTGCAAAAGCACCTCTATTGGTGAATTCATGTCTTTTGAGTATGTTGCAATCAACCTTTTTAATGATACACCTGTGTTAATAATTGTAATATACAGACCTCCGAAGCAAAATAGTAAATTTATGTCAGAAATTGCGGAATTATTATCAGTAGCGTCCACAAACTATGATAAGATTCTTCTGTCTGGGGACTTTAACTTACATATCGATGGTCCTTCAGATAGTAATGCATTAGAATTCTTTAGACTTCTAGAGACATTTGATTTGAAGCAGCACGTGGGCAGCTCTACCCACAAGCTAGGTCACATCCTGGACCTGGTCATCACTAAAGGTTTAAAAACAAAGGTGTCCAAAATCTCGGATGTTTTCTTATCAGATCACTTCTGTATTTTCTTTCAAATCAATTTAGAAGTAAAGAAGAAAGTACCTGAAAGTTACTTTAAAACACGTTAAACAGTCTAAGTGCTAGATTACGGGAAGGCCTTGACCTTCTCGCCCCTATAAAAAGGAAGAAAAGCTCGCATGGATGAATGCGGAAATACGCCAGCTTAAGAGAAATTGTCGTAAATCAGAGCGCTTATGGAGGAAAACTAAACTGCAGGTACACTATGATATTCTCAAAGAGCAGATCTCAGTCTATAATAATGCTATGAAAATATCCAGACATTCATATCTCTCTAGTGTAATCAATAGACACAAAAATAATACCAAAATTCTTTTTTCCACTATAGACCGACTAATTAACCCTAACTTCTCTGCTAGTGCGTTTAATGATGATTTATCTTCTAATATCGGTGAAGAGTTCGCAATTCATTTCCAAAATAAAATAGACCTGATACGACAGGGTGTAGCTCAGCAGACGCAAACAAGCTCCTATAATGTTCCTGATAGGTCACCTACATCAGTACTGACATCTTTCTCTGTTATCAACTATGAGGAGCTCACAACTATTTTAAACAAACTAAGTTCATCCACATGTGATCTTGACCCTGTTCCTACTTCATTCCTTAAGATGGTTTTTGATTGTATTCATAATAATGTTTTAACTATTGTAAATTGTTCTCTGTCAACAGGTGTTTTTCCAGATGCTTTGAAAACTGCCCTGTGAAGCCTGTGCCAAAAAAGAGTAGCATGGATCCTTCCATACTAAATAATTTTAGACCGATTTCAAACCTACCTTTTCTAAGTAAAGTCGCTTTCAAACAAATAAATACGCGTCTAATATCAAACAATTTATATGAGAAGTTTCAGTCAGGTTTTCGTTCAAACCATAGTACAGAGACAGCATTGATTCACGTTATGAATGACCTCAGGCTCAGTGCTGATGCACAAAATCCTTCTATTTCGGTTTTATTAGATTTTAGTGCAGGCTTTGATACCGTTGACCACAAGATTTTACTCCAGCGTCTTGAATGCTGGGTCGGCCTCTCAGGCAGTTTTAGAATGGTTTAAATCATATTTAAGTAATAGGCAGTTCATGGTTTCACTTGGAAATCATTCATCAAAACGATTTGCCGTTTCTTGTGGAGTCCCCCAAGGTTCAGTCTTAGGGCCTTTGCTTTTCTCTTTGTACATGCTACCTCTAGGTGATGTTATTAGGAAACATAGTATAAATTTTCATAGCTATGCTGATGACACCCAGCTATACATTACTATTCCTTCTGAAGATCAAGACTCTGTAGACAGACTAACCAGCTGTGTGTCAGATATTTCTCAGTGGATGTCGCAAAATTTTCTACAATTAAATCATGAAAAAACTGAATTACTGATTGTTGGGACAGAAACTTTTTTGAGAAACTTGGTTCTTTAGCTTCATCTACCAAACCTGAAGTACGAAACCTGGGTGTGATCTTAGACTCTGAGCTCTGTTTTACTCCACATGTAAACACGGTCACTAAAGTAGCTTTTTATCATTTAAGAAATATCGCTAAAGTTCTGCCTTTTCTATCTCAGAGCGACGCAGAGAAACTTCATGCATTTGCTACAAGCAGACTTGACTACTGTAATGCTCTTCTTGCTGGACTTCCTAAGAAAACTACACATCCCTTACAACCTGTACAAAATGCAGCAGCGCGCATCCTATCAAAAACTAAAAAGAAAGATCACATCACTCCCGTTTTGAAAGAACTGCACTGGCTGCCTGTATCATTCAGGATAGATTTCAAGGTTCTGCTACTAGTCTTTAAAGCTCAAAACAACCTAGCACCTACTTACATCACAGAGTGTCTGTCTGTTTATGTTCTGGCACGTAATCTAAGATCTGCAGATTGTGGCCTTCTACAGATACCCTCTGTAAAATACAGAAAACATGGAGAGGCCTCTTTCAGTTATTATGCTTCTAAACTGTGGAACTCAATTCCACCTTTTATTAGACAGTCAAGCTCAGTGCTCACTTTTAAGAAGCACCTAAAAACATATCTCTTTAAATTAGCATTTAACTAAAACTGAATGTCTCGTGGTGTTTATCTTGTAATTTAATCTTCTTCATTTTCTTCTGATTCTAATTAAGTACTAATGATCTTTTCTACAACTATGTTTTATCACCTGTCTGTAAAGCACTTTGAGCTGCCACCAGCATGAAAAGTGCTATATAAATAAAATTATTATTATTATTATTATTATTATTATGATTATGATTAATATAAGAAAAGTCTTTGCCGCCCAAAAAGATTCTTCCATTGCTTCTTTCTATAGCTGCAGTATATTATAGGCTAAAGGAGCAAGACACTGCACGTTTTAGCTGATCGACTGCGTGACAGTTAATTTTATTATTATATTTATTGCTATGTCTTTTTTGGTGAGCTATTATTTTAAAGTCAATCGCACGTGTGCACCGTTTACCATCGAGCCAAACAGCAAGGCTGCAGTTCAAAATAAGAGGGTCCGTACAGTAGGACCACCACTAGGTGGCAGAAACACTCCACGGGTACCTATATAAGTCGAACTACATTGTCTGGGCAAAGCGTTTCCACGCCTCTTGTGTTGTTGACACGTCCCAGTGTTTCAGAGGACCCATGTCGTGAATGGGTTTGTCTTAATGGCCTGTTTTCGCTGCACTTCGGCTTCCTCAAGTCAGATTTCCCAGCTATGACACTGAGGGTGCTGTTGGCTAAAGCGGAGCAGCTGTGAATCCATCATATCCAGCCAATGAACTTTATCAGAGAACATCGGTTTTAGGATCAGAAACGTCTTCAGACTCCTGTGGTAAGTAAGGAAGTGTCGTAATATAACTAGAGTGTTAATGGAATAAGCTAGAAAGTTATGCTAACCGTCGCTAATAACTTGTTTCTCACTCTTGACACGCAGTCTTACAATCGTACAGGTGAATTAGTTTGTCTTATACATTGTCTTATGATATGCAGTCGAGAAAGTCTGCAGGTTTAAAGGGGAAGTCATGGCAGCTGATCTCTTACTAATGAGGCGACTCACCAGTCTCAGACAAGTGCCATATCAAAGTCACAGCAGCTCTCTGCGGCTGAGTGTTCAGACGAGGACCAGCGTGGGTCTCAAAGAAAACCCGAAAGATCAGGTAAGAGTTGCTGGACTTGGTTTTAGTGTTTTACCTTTTTATAAGAACATACGTTAGTGGTGACCCTGCCCATTCATTTATGCATAAATGAATAGTTAAGATGTAAACAAAGTCATTCAGAGTGCGGTGAAATGCTCCATGCTAGAGAAACTTAAGTCAGAATTGTTTACAGTGGTGTTGATAGGAACCAGACGTCCAAAGCGTTGATGCCTCTAAATGCTACCTCCCAGAATGCTCTCACATGAAATGGTGACAATTGAACTGCCAGAGAAATTATTTTACTACAGTTTTGAGATAAACATATGGCAAAATACTACCCCCAAAAAAACGTACTAAAAAACTATTTTCCAAATAGCATAATTTAACTATTATCAGCATTGCATACCAAAACTCTGAAGAGATGTTTACGCTCACTAGTAAATGTACTAGTGAGCCTACTGCTAAATGTAGTAGATCTAATGAATGGTAAATAAAATGACTTTATAGGTGTTGTAGACATTACGCAACCACAGTAAAGAAATCAGACCAGGTACGTTTTTCAACAATGTACCATTTTACATCAAAACTCTCTGAATGACTTTATTTACATTACAACAATTAAAATGCACAATTTTGAAGAAAAAAAATTGGATGAATTATATTTTTCTGTTAACCTTTCCTTCAAGAAATTCCAGACCTTTTCGTGTTTAAGAAACAGTAATGTGGTTTAGATTTATTGAATTAAAGTTTCTCATATTAGTTCACGGAGTACTAAAGTTGCTCTTCAGGTGTCAGAATATTAACATAAATGAGTGACCAGCGTTGAGTAAAATAAACAGTTTTTATTTAACCCACAAGAATTTGTGGAAACAAATATAAAAATGATTTATGAATCAAATTTATGCCATGTTTTTGCATTACTGTGAAGGTATGGTTTATATTCCATCTGTTTTATTTTCAGAAGTATATCCGTAAAGATCGAAATGATTCAAAGTTCAGAGCTGTTATGGAATCGCTCCATAATTACTCTCACATTGGCAAAGGATTGAGTGATACTGAATGTGCCAGGGCTCTTAATGGCCTGAAGGACAATGCAGAGGGCAGCGACATGGTCAACATTTATAGCCGTGAAGGTTTGTGGGAATCTAGATACAAGCTATTTGGAAAGGGTGCTCCCTCACAAATGCCAGTCTATGGACAGACCTGTTTATTCCATCAAGATCACTCGCACTGTAGCGATGTGAAAAAAGATGACCCAGCCAAAGATGACAGAAAAAGTGACTCCAAGAAACACAAGCAAATGGTACAGTAGGAAAAATGACATCTTTTCATTTGACATGATAACGTCTTGTATGATGGGTTGTATGTTAAGTTGATTTGTAATACCCTAAAATGGTAAATTTTTATGTATACCATCAGTTTTTTCCCTTGGTGTGACTGATTTGCTATGTTTTTTTTGTTATTTTTTTTTTCTTGCACATGAATAACATTTTCTCCCTCCTATTATGTCTTAGCTCAGTGAGAGTGCCAGGGAGCGCAAAGTACCAGTTACGAGATTGGGACGCTTAGTTAATTTTGGAGGTAGGAGGTTGTTCATGCATGCAAATGCCATTCTCTAATTTGCTTCTTAAAATATCTGAGCATTTTCTAATTTACAATCGGAGTTAGTACTTGTAAATAAATGTGCAAAACTGAGTGGTGTGTTCACATTAAAAATAAAAATTGAAGGAATACTTTGTTATCTTCAGGCTTGGCAGTTGGACTGGGCTTTGGAGCAATTGCTGAAGTGGCAAAGAAGAGCCTTCGATCTGAAGATAAGAAAGGTGCATTGCTATGTATAAACAATGTGTAAAATAAGCTCAATGTCTAGGGAGTTAGATCAGGAGACTTCAAAATACAGCTTTAGTTTTAAAAATTGTACTCTTATAATGTTGAATGTGAATCATTACATCCCTAACCAGCCTGTATTTCCTCAGGTAATAAGAAAGCTATCCTTGACTCCAATCCTTTTGTTTCTGAGGCTAATGCTGAAAGAATCGTTCGGACTCTTTGCAAAGTGAGAGGAGCTGCTCTTAAACTTGGGCAAATGCTCAGCATCCAAGGTGAGAAATTGATAAGTTTTGCTGATCCTTGTTAAGAGATCCTGATAGATATTGAGAGATATTGAACATGATGTGTATTTACTTTTCATATCCTGCTGACATTTTGTTTTGATTAGCGTTGTTGTTCGGTATGTGTTCAGAACAGTTCTCAGGCAGGGCTGTGTGCTCTGTGTTTACTGTGATTGTTTTTCTTCACCACCTCCATGGCCTGCCCTTGACTCCGACTCATACTGTAGACTGCCCCTATTCACAGCACACGATTGTGTTTATTTCTGTTAAGAATGTGGCAGCGTGCGTGGCACAAATGTCATCCTGCAATATCATTACACTCCCTTCTGAAGGCATCAGGACAGCTATGTAGGGTACTAGGTCTGGGTTGGCAGGTGTCATCGAGCTTGCCTTGGCCAATCAACTACCCTTGGGCTAAGGGGAATATTGTGTAAATTAAAATTTTAATTGAACAGTTCCTTCACCATCCAGTTGGCTATGTCTGTGTGCAGTGAAGCCACAAGTCAGATTATTAAGTTTAAATAATACCAGCAGTTAAACTGGTATTATAATAAATAAGTAAAGTCACCCCAATTGTTGTTTTTGTTAATTATAAAAAGTCTTTGTTTTTTGTTTTAAGCTTTGGCTCCAGATGTCCAAAATCTTTCTAGTAAGTGACTTGGAAGAAGAACTACTTTGTTCTTGTTTAATAATACAGGTAACCTTTTAAAAAGAATGATCATATGCTTTACGCCATGCTGTGTGAGTTGAGTGTCAGGACAGCGCTGCTGACCCCAAAAGCAGCTGGCTTGAATGTGCCTAGCCCTAAAATAGCACAGCCTACAGACCACGAAAATCATTTGAGACATTTCTAAAAATCTTTTGTGCAAGGTGGCTTCTTGATTCAGTCTGCAAGATTCTTGAGTGGACATTGTTTATACCACGAGACCTTAATAATGAGACACAAACCCACCATCATGAGCTTCTGCTTATTTTCCTAGATGACGCCTTCATCAATCCTCAGCTTGCAAAGATCTTTGACCGTGTTCGACAAAGTGCTGACTTCATGCCCACCAAGCAAATGATGGTATAGTCTCAAATGTGAGAGTTTTTCCATGTCGAAGAACAAGTATAGTTTCACATACCACATATGATAAATAAGCACTCTTACTTAAACATACAGTACGAGATGGCGGCACATTAGATGCTACAAAGTAATTTATTGTTTTCCTTTTCAGTAATCCCTTTGTACTTTATTTACATGACAGAAAGTGGTCAGCAATGACCTGGGCCCAAACTGGCGAGATGGACTGGAGTTCTTTGAGGAGAAGCCTTTTGCTGCTGCCTCCATTGGTCAGGTGCACCTCGCTAGGTTGAAGGATGGCAGGGAGGTGGCTATGAAGATCCAGGTTAGAGAAACATTTGTCAATCAGAAATGAGGAAAAAGCATTGTTTGGGTAGACCTGAATAATTTAAAAACTTGAGCTTTTATTTGTTTTGTTGGTATTTATTTCTCTAGTATTCAGAAGCTTTGTCTTTACCGGATGATACTGCTTGGTAGGCTACAAGCCTGAAAGCACAGCTGGTTTCTATTTATTTGCACTGTACTATTATCACTGGAATGCATTTTAAACCTTTGTTGCATTTATTTCCTGTGTTCTCAGTACCCTGGAGTGGCCAAAAGTATCAACAGTGATGTCAACAACTTGATGACTGTCCTTAGTATGAGCAATGCATTACCTGAAGGTATGAATTCTGTGGAAATTAAGAATTAGAATAATTACTCATTAGTGTAAATTCATCCTTGATCAACCAAAGTGTTTGTTACGTTGTCGTGCAGGTCTGTTTCCAGAGCACCTGATTGAGGTTATGAGCAGGGAACTGGCTCTAGAATGTGATTATGTGAGGGAAGCTGAGTGTGCCAAAAAATTCCAGTGAGTATATTAACCTAACCTTTTGTGTACCACTCGCCAGTTTTAACAGAGTGCTCCAAAACTGTCTATTTAATATCGCTGATCAGCCATTTTCTCAGAGCAATAATGAGATGCAGGAAGCTTACCTTTCTATAGCAAGAAGAAACAAAGGCGATAATATGGTTCATGATGTAGGCAGGAATTTGTATAAGTGTTGGGACATTTTATGTCAAGTCTAATTAGGAATAGTACTGTTGCTTTTTTATGTGTTTTAAAATTCTGTCATAAACAGCTTTCCTGATCTGAATCTTTTGTGATTCATTTAGAATTTTGAAACAGTCAGCCTATTGTGTACATTAACAATTTTAAACTGTGTTTTACAGAGAGTTAATGAAGGATCACCCCTACTTCTATGTGCCTGATGTAGTAGATGAACTAAGTAGCCAGCATGTCCTCACCACAGAGCTGGTGTCTGGTTTCCCTCTGGATAAAGCTGATGACCTCCCACAGAACCTGAAGAATGAGGTAAGCCCTCCAGTCAGAGTCAGTTAATCTGTTTGTCACTGCACTCCATAATGGTGGTGATACAGGTGACATGGATGATTACCACCCATCCTCTGATCTTTGTAAGCTCATGTAGTCGCATATTTCTCTCAAGCTTTCTTTCATACAAAAGTATTGTGAAATATATAATACTTTTGCTTATATATAAAGCTGTTATTCATGGATACTCTGTGACCCAGAAGGATAAGCGGTTTAGTGTGTGTGTGTGTGTGTGTGTGTGTGTGTGTGTGTGTGTGTGTGTGTGTGTTAATGGATATTATATGTGCCACCGAGAACAGATTTTCTTTTTGTAGACATACCTCAGGAATTTGATACTGTGCACATTTTTTGCACAGATTGTTCTTAGTTAGATGTGCTCTGTGTATTTATATTTAGTTCACTATTGTCAGTGACGTACGGTCACCAGTTTGACTAAGTTTATACTCTCTAAATGGATCTCTCATTTAGCATGTTAATAAATATAGAAATGTATTAACTGAACTAAACTTGAACCTAGGTTAACCTTTTGGAAGAGAGGCAATTTTCTTCTGCATAGTAATCATTATTTATTTCTGTTCATCACTATTTGTGGGTTTGTTGTCTGTTTCTCTTCAGATCTGTGAGCAGATTTTGATTCTTTGCTTGAGAGAGCTCTTTGAGTTTAGATACATGCAGACTGATCCGAACTGGTCCAATTTCTTTTACGACCCTCAAACGCACAAGGTATATCCTTTCATTATTTATTGGCTGTTTTTCCTGTTTTATTTTCCTTTAATGCTTATCTTTGGTTTTTTAGATTGCACTGTTGGATTTTGGAGCCACAAGAGGTTTTGATGCAAGCTTTACAGATGTGTACATTGAGGTACAGCGAATGTACATAATTTTATATGATTTTATATTTATTACAGTCGAAGTGACATTTTAGTTAATATATGTTTTGATATTTTTTCTTCATTAGATCATCAAGGCTGCAGCAGACAGAAATAGAGAGGGGGTTTTACAACGATCTATTGAGATGAAATTTCTGACTGGTTATGAGTCAAAGGTACTAAGCGTCACCAGGAACATCACTGTTTTTCATATTTGACTTAGTTTAAGTTTTTCTGGCCATTTTGCCTCTAACTTTTTTAATTCTGCATGTCTTCTTAACATTTGAAATGCACTGAGAAAGAGCATTCCTTTTAAAGGATTACTAGTGAACAAAGGTTCATTTTGTCTGTTTCCATTATGTTTGGTGTTTGGGATCCTTTTAAAATGTTAACGTTAAAGGGTCCATATCCTACATGTTTCTCGTAATTTATTTTCTTCATGAGGACCACTGATAACATTTTATGGCTAAATGTACCAAACCTCTAAACATTTCTAGCCTCTCTTTTATGCCTTAAAGTTGAACAGACTGTGTTATTACTTTATATATTCTTTGTACTTATTGGCTGCACTGTATTGTGCCTCATTAAAAAGTAGTCCAAACTAAAACACTACTTGTAACTTACAGCGTTAATGGGTGGAGCCAATCTACTCTAGGCTGAAATGGCAGATCTGTTTGTGATATCACAAAAATGGTGAATTCAAATGGAAACTAGACTGTTTTTGAAGTTTAATTTCCATAAAAGGACTGTAAAAGGCTGGGATGTGAACACAGAACCCTTTAACAGTGATGGCATGCATGATTTCCCATGACATGGCCCAATTAACATGGATACAAGGAATTAGTATTACAAGAGATTATACTTTACATCCTCTTTGCTGCTTTCACTCATTGAAACGTATTCTGTTTATATGATTTTGTCCAGGCAATGGTGAATGCCCATGTGGATGCAATAATGATTCTTGGCGAGGCTTTTGCCTCAGAAGAACCTTTTGACTTTGGCTCTCAGAGTACGACGGAGCGGATCCACAGCCTCATTCCTGTAATGCTAAAACAGCGGCTCACCCCTCCCCCAGAAGAGACCTACAGCCTGCACCGCAAGATGGGAGGCTCCTTCCTTATCTGCTCCAGACTCAAAGCCAAGCTGCACTGTAAGAACATGTTTCAAGATGCATATGCTAAATACTGGAGAGATAGACACAGAAAAACTCCAGAGTGAAGAACAGTGTGTGGAGTTGTTTTGGGAGTGAGGAGCGTGCAAATCAAGATGACAAGAGGGAGCATTAATTTAAAAGGATAAATGTAAACATTGAGATTGCACTTTATTCTAACAACAGTCATAGCCTCACAAACTGGTAGAGAGGTATACGTGTTGTGAATAGAGTAGGTCTGTAATGTAATTTTACAGATTATACAGTCTGGATCACACCGTACATGAAAATATTGTGATGTGCATCTTGAGCCAGTTACTGTATTCTATTCTGTAATAACCTATCTTATAGGTTAAAGTAAAAGATTATACATTTGCAGCGATTTGTTACTACTTTGCTTTTGATGCTGTGTCTCATGTCACTGTTAACGTTAGCACCATTTGTTAAAGGCATGTACGTTATTTTACCATTTACTATCTTAAAGCTGCACTATGTAAGAATTTTTTCCTTAAAAGTGAAAGTGGCATTAGGAATCATGATCGGGGGAAAAAAATGATAATATATGGAGTCTATGCCTTGCTTCAAGTTACCTTGTAAAGCTTGACATAGTAATTTAGGTCACAGGCATCGGGTTGGGAGTTTTTTGGACCGTGCTATACGTATTTACATATCTACATCACATGCACAGGCTCAAAAGGAAGATCTGGTTTAGGTCTCGCATGCAAAGATAGAAAAGATGAGAATAGTAGATAATTCATTTGCATCCTCGAAAGACACGTCCTTTACCAGGATCTGACTGAGTTCTCTTTGTATACTCTGAATGTGCTTGCAGTCATTAGGCTCATCCGCTTGTGGAGGAGGCCAAAGCACAACTGACGTTACAAAATGTTCTTCCTGAGGTTGCTTGCAGTTACACATTTCCACTGGAAAATCTTACACAGTGCAGCTTTAATATGTATACCTTTTAATGCTGGTATTTTGGCATGCTGTCTGAACACATTGTTCTGTATTTCATGTAAGGCCTCTACAGTTAAGCTATGGGTGAGTCTTTAGTGTTGTGAGAGCTGAAGTGAAAGACATTTCTGTCTTGCATTTAGACAGCACAGCATTTTTTTATTTGACAAATACATTAGGACAAAAGCAGTATCTTGCATTTATAATTAAAACTAACCGCTGAGGAGAAAGTGACTAATGGTGTAAATAAGACAGGTTGACCTCAGCTGGCTGCTCTGTTGTGGGGGGACAACGATGATTTAAGGGAGAGCTTATACTTTTTCAGATCTGACAGGAGTAGGCAATGCAGAGGGAACAGCTGCAATCAAAGTAGGGTCTGTAAAGGGCCAGACAGTCACCTTCCACCCTGGACACACTCACCCTGTGCTTCAAACATATGAGACCCAACATTAAATTTAAAACTGTCCACATAACCACAGTGTCTGAGATTCTTCATTAAAATGTAGAAGTATGTCTTCTTCAAGGCTCCAGTATCTCAGTCCATTGGTTCTTGGCACTGGTCACAGTAAGCAGCATCATCTGAATATGTCTCTATTTGGACAGTGACGTTATGGAGGCCAAATTCTGACTGGAGCAGCTTTGTCATGTCCATAAGAACAAACTGCGGATTGGTCTGCTCATCTGGAATAAAACAGAATTTGAGCAAGAAAGCACAATAAAATATGTACGCAAGTAATCATCTTGATTGCTAATCATTACTGTGTTCTTCCGATAGTGTTAAATCACTTCTCTCTAAATTAGTATTACTTTTCTAAAATAATACATTTTTGTGGCGTCTTACCTATGACAGCGTGGACAGCTATCTGAGGCTGACTCATGGTCAGCGCCCAAATGTGAAGACTGTGAGTAGCTTTGACTCCTCTAACTGATAGCAGGGCTTCTTTCACAGCATCATAGTCTACTCCATGTGGTGTTCCTTAAGACAAAAATGAAAAAGCTTCAGAATAGTTACTTAATAAAATATTAGATATTTGGATGCACTGGAATTAATGGGCCTCATTCACCAATATCTTAAGTTTTTTTCTTAAGTTTGTTCTTGAGAGAGGTTCTAAGAAAAAGTCAACGTCAGATTCATGACATATTCTTAATTCGCAGTATTGTTTGCACCTTTGTGCTCTTAAGTGTGTGTAGATTCTGTTCTTACCTGAGAACAAATCTCAATTAAGAAAATACTGGTGAATGTCAGAATCTTCGTGAAAACTGCGTAAGTAGGTTTTAAGAAGAATGAATGGTTGGTGAATGAGGTCCAATGTTTTGATTAACTGCTTACCCTCCATAAGTACTTTGAATATGTCTTTGAGAATTGTAGATGTTGTTGCAAGAACACATATAGAAAACAGAAAGGTACAAACAGGATCTGCTATTTTCCATTCAGGCTGTATGAAGAGTAGAATACATTGTTATTTACCTGCTTTTCATAACAAATTTAAAGTAGACCTGATTTGAATGGCATGTAATTATTGAAAAAGGTGTGGATCAATTACGTCTGAAGGAGAGATCTTCGAAAACTGGCACAAACCTGAAAATATATGATTGTGGCAGCTAGCAGAACACCCAGGCTCTGTAGCAAATCTCCCAGCACATGGATGAAAGCGGCCCTCACGCTGGTGTTGCCATGGTTATGGCAATGACTGTGAGACAGTGGAGACTGATGGAGAATAAGAGCCATTCTAGAGGAAACACAGTGTATCGGAATTATCATAGTGAGTGTGATATGATCACAAATTTTAAGCAGGTTCTACTGCGGCAGATAAAATGTGCCATACGTAAAAACCCATATGAAAATACAGATACCAAAAACACAGTACATTCATTTATCACAGTACATTCTCAGTTTAAATTGTAGAGAAAATGGTATTGGCCATTAATGCCAAGTAGCTGAGAACAATTGTGAAAATAATGACTTTCTATGGTGATATAATGATGCATTTTCTCAAATGTTTAACTCCAAATAATGACTTAATATTTCAAAATAATGACTTAATATTTCAAAATAAGGAATTACTTTGGTGAAATAATGACTAATTTAATGACTAAAGACTTTGGCTCACTAACTCCAAACAATAACTGTTGAAATAATTACATACTAAATTTCAATAATTTTTTGAGATATGTCAAAATTTCAAGTAATTAACCCATTATTAAGATACCTAGTAAATGTTTTGACATACAACTGCCAGAAAGAAAAAAGAAAACATTTTTTTTCTCCTCTACTTGTCAGGAACGCGTCGTAGTTTAACGCATCATACTTCTTAGTCTAAAATGAGTACTAACATAGCAAAAATCATCTTGGTAATTGGATCAAAATGCCACTTTAAAACTTACAAGATATTTACTACCACAGCACAGCCAGAGGTGATGAGCATGACACCGCTGTGTATCTCGTAGTCATTTTGGATGATCCTCTGGATGGCCATGAATACCAGCACAGTGGTCACAGCCCATATGGACAGCACTGACAAAAGACCACCAAGAACCTCTGCACAAAAATGTACAGAAGACTGGATGCTCAGGACAACAAAGGGAGCACTGAGCTGATTAGACTACAGCTCTGCTTTTGGACGAACAGCTCCAACTAGCCATACAATGTTATTCAGTAGATTCATGGGCAGAAACATGCATGTAAGCACAAAACAAAGTGATGCGCAAAAACTAATTTGTTTGTAAACAAGAGTAACAAGTGGCAACAACCTGACCGATGCCACCCGTATGTCAGGCTTTTGGAGGCAGGTTTTGAGGAGATCCACAGAGAGAAGAGGCTGATCAGGATGCTGCCAAAGTCAGTCAGAAGATGAGCTGCATCAGTCATTACAGCAAGACTGTGAGCAGCATATCCACCTATAAGAGCAAAGAACACTGAAAGTAGCTGAGATCAATCAAAGAGATATAAACAGAGGAAGACTAAGAACATCTCTAAAGTGAAGCCTGGTATAGCGTGGTGAGTAACATTGCTGACTTTCATGTGGCAGGCCGAGGTTTGAATCCTTATTTGAGCAAGCACACCATGCTATACCAGTAAGAATCATTGGGTAAGACTGAACAAATTGGTTTAATATATTGAAAAACAGTGATGACAAACTATTGAATGGTGGTCTATAAATGCTTCTTATACATAGGTTAGGTATTATAGGTAGTATAGGGTCTAGATCCATCTACATAGTCATTTATGATAGTCTTTAAAAGCTGCTTTTCATGAATAACACTCAGGATATTCCTACCAATAACTTCTCCAATCATGAAGACCAAACAGACAACAGATGTGATTAGCAGTTTTCTCCGAGCATGTAGTTTCTCATGGCTTTGGGCCACTGCAGTTCTACTGGTATGGCAGTGAAAAGCTGCCCCTCTGGCCCCATGTTCTTCCTCAAACTCAGTGCTCAGATAGTCATCCTTCAAGTCATCAGATGAACTGGAGACAAGAATATTTAAAACCTGTTCTATGCATGTTTAAATAACTAAAGGTCAGTGCATAAACAGATTCAACATTTATTTTCACTAAATGTTTGTGCATTTTAAAGAAAACTGGAATTGAATACCTAACAACTTTAGCTGCAGGTGGGCAAAAGGCTGATAAATGCAAAAGCACAGAAGTCAGGACAAAAATCTGATTTTTGGTAAACTTCAATATGTTTATTTGATAAAGCTGATCATTTAAGAATCATACAGTACTATTTACACCTATTCATGAAGGCATTTTCTTTATTTTTACTATTTTTCTAACATTTTACTGGCTGTTAAAAAAAAACACCTGTACATAGTCACACATTTCACTATTCATATTTCAAGCATGGAATGTCTTTAGGATTATGAAAAACATACAAAGTTTTAGTGCTACAGTATATTACTCAAAAAATAAAAGCAGTATATTTTATAATGCACCACATTTTCAATTGAATAACATTCTTCGAATGCAGTGAATGTTAAAAAAAAAAAAGTAATTCAAGGACATGATGAGCATCTTGTTGCGTTGAAAGAAAAAAATGCGATGATTCAATAAACCTATTAAATATAATGTTAAAGTCATAAATTCAGATTTTTCCAAAAAACATCAGCTGGAAAGGTATTTAAATGAGCACAACTGCATAAATCTAAAATGCACCCTTTCAAAAAGCAGCCTTTTTCAGAGTATATATATAGCATGTATACTATGAGGTAACTTTAGTTGCTGCTTGAATCTCTCGGTTAATATGCAAAAAAATAAATATGCAACCTTATTTTTTTTTTAGTTTTTCTATAGATTTTCACAGTTTATTAAACATAAACAATCTGAATATGGTATGTACTTGAACAACTTACCCCTGAACAGGAGAATATTCCTGCCTGGTGAGCCGAACCTTTTCCAAATTCACCATGGAATCTTCTGAGTATATTCTACACAATATCAGCGATACCAATATGCTCAATAAATGACTCCTTAACTCTGTAGACTGAACAGTGTTTCCAATGAGCATTTAACACACAAACATTCAATCTTCCCCAAATTTTGAAACAGCGGTAAACAGTAAGAAACATCAAGCAGTCAAGGGCCACATGTTGCTTCACATGCTGTCTCTACATCATTACACAACGTAAAAATTATCAGCGCATGCCATTTTTGAAAGATAAGACAGACCAAAAAAAGCATGTTTCCAAGGTTACACTTCAGACTTGATGATTAACAGAGCCAAAAACAACAAAGTACAGCTTTACACATGACAATACCAGAAGATTAATTCACACAGAAGAAATTAAAATGATACAGCAAAACATCAGTTTTATTTAACTTCATAATTTTTCATACACTGTACTTGCTTGCCACAGATATAACACCTGGAATCAAATATATAATCAATTCAACCCATTTGATCAACAAATATTAAAATGCGCAACTTTTAAAGTGTAATCACTAAACTGAAGTATTATTGCAGCAGCCCATTTTGTACAGGTGGAAATTTTTATACCACACCATTTAGATCAGACTAAATTCTTTAAGAAGGTTGTTAATGGTGCTGTTCATCACATTTATCAACAAGAGTCATAGAAAACGTACTGTGTAAATGTAATGAGATCCCTGAGGCATTAGAATGTCAAAGTATCAGATGTTTGATTAATATGATATATTAATGGCTTAATCTTACACTACAATACATACAAAACATGCTTTAAAGTTTTTCAAAGTACTAGCACAAACATCGTTTTGCTTAAAAAGTGAAGCATAATGACCTGCATTTTGAGACTTTTGTTTTTAAAGAATAAAAAATCTTTCTACTAAGGCAGATAAAATATGGACCCATATGTACATACAGATATCAAAAACTAATATTTACTTACATTTTTATCACAGTACATTCTCAGGCAGAGTTCTACAACTTACCAACCCAACTGCATTACAAAACTCTAAAGTTCCAAACATATTCTGTGTTTTTGCTGCATCCTCTAACAGTCTGTAGCATAGAGGGCTTACACAATCTATTTATATAGTAAAGTCATTACAAAAATAAAAAAATAATTCAAACATAAGACATCAGTGTCAGTGCCACTGTTGTTGCTTAGGATTATTTAAATTATTACTTAAGTTACCTTAGATTACATTCTTATTTAAATTAGTCATTTAAGACAAGTGCGATCATATTTTAAGTTTAAATGTTTATACATTAGGTTGGAGTCCATAAAAAACATTTCTCCAGAAAATTTCTCTTTGGCTGGAGATGCCTATTAGTAGGCAATTCCCAGTTATTGGAATTTTCACTAAATAACTCATATAATATAACTAAATATATCTCTGTAAAAAGAACCTGCCACAGTAAAGGCAATCAAGATACATGTAAACAAAAATTGATACATTCTGAACATTCTGAATTTTTGATTGCAATGCAGAACTTCTAACCATCAATCAGTCATCATTTCCACAAGAGCTGAGCTTACTTTCACAAAAAGTGAAAGGACAAATATGGACATGTTACATCTTCTCTCGGTCATGAATTCTGTGTTTCAAAGGCAAAAGACTGGTCATGCACTGTAAATGCAGCTGGCTGTACATTAATGGCTGTGTCTCCACCTAGAGGAAGAAGTGAAATGTTGTGATGAGGGCAATCTAATCAAATTAAGTATTACTTGCTTTGTCAAGGTGCTGCATCCTATATGAATTTACCAGTCATTTATTTAGCATAAAAATAAAGGGAGTTAAACACATTCTTTAAAACAAGATCCTTGGAGATGTGGAATTGTAGATTAAACCTTTTGCCCCCCTGAATGTAAAGAACTCTTGAAAGTTCAGGAGCAGCAATGGTAAAGTGCTTTACATCCATCTCCACTTTACATCCATTTCCACTACATTGCTAATTAGGCTTGTTGTTATGGATAATAAAAAAAAAAGACAACTCACCAATATCATACATTATTCTTATATTAATTTTTTCCACCCGAGGCCCACTTATAAACCTTGTATGGTTTTATGTATAAAATCGTCGTGATTCACTTTTAGATTATAATTTTCCAAGCTTTTTTATTTCTTTAGATCCATTAACATTAAACAGGCTAATACTGTTATTTGTCACTGTGCCCTTAAGACTGATATATGCAAATAAGCTCTGTTTTGATTGGCTGCCCTCTCTTGTGCCTCATTCAAAAGCAGTCTGGGTCAAAACACTCCTTATAACTTAAGCGTGAACAGGCAGGGCTAAACTGCTGTAGGCTGAATAGGTGGATATATGTGTTGCATTTTGTGACATCACAAAAACAGTGAATTTAAAACCGTTTCTTTTGCACTTTAGTTTGCATATATGGACTGTATGGACTGGCAAGTGAATGGTATGTTTTGAAACTTTTAACAATAACAATTCACTTCCCAGTCCAGCCAATCCATATATATGCAAACTAAGCTGCAAAAACAGCCCATTTTGAATTCACTGTTTTTGTGACATCACAAAATACAACACATTTACACCTATTCAGCCTACAGCAGTATAGCCCCGTCTTTCAAACTGAAGCTATAAGGAGTGTTTCAGCCCAGACTGCTCTGTAAGTGAAGGACAACACAGGGCAGCGTAAATCAGAACAGAGCTCATTTACATATATCGGTCTTAAAGGAACAGTGATAAACACAGCCTGTATAATTTTGAAGGATAAAGAGAGGTTGGAAAATGGTCACATACAATTGAATTTGAATTTTTGGTACATAAGACCAAACAAACATTAAAAGTGGACCTTCGCAGTAAAACAATAAAAATAAAATAATCAAGTTGTATGACATGGGCCTTTTAAATAACGGACAAATCAGTCTTGCAAACTCTAAACTGGCACTGAGAAATAAATAAACTAAAAAAAATTCAGTCTAAATGTTCTTGAGCAACTTGAGCTGCAATGCTGCATTATATTGTATATACAGTGAAATGTATATAGAATTTACCATCACTTGAGTTTGTGGTGTCTGCACTAGGTACTGGCATGCCTATGATCACTGTGCCCTGGGCTGTAAAACCAAAGAAAATCAATGAGGTACAGAATGTCTAATTGTATATAAAAAAGTAAATTATATATAAAAAGAGGTGTTTTTACTTAAGTCTTCAGTCTGCATCAGTATGTGAATGTAATTCATTAAACACCAGTAAGTGCTCATTGAAAAGCAAAGCAGTGTAGCAGATCAAATGTTCACCTGAATCTCCAGGAACTGGAGAGGGAACAGGCTGTGCTATAATAACTGGTTCTTTGGCTGCAAAGCAAAGTAAATCATCTTTAGAGGACATAATAATGAGACATGCTTTTGAAGGAAGATTCACCTGAGCTCTCAGGTGCTGTAAAGTGCAAGCACAGACCATTTACAATTATTTCATGCAAAATCAATCAATAATCAATGAGAAATGTTCTGTTACTTTCAGTTTTGTTTTACTTCACCTCTATTTTGCTCCTCAAACATTTGAGCTTCTAGCTGCTCTGGATCCACATAGAAACATTCTTCCTCATCCTCGTTTAGTGCACACTTTCCACAGCAGCAACAGCAACAGCAGAAGCAGCAGCAGCAGGTAAAGATCAATCCACAGGCTAAAAGTGTCTAAAAAGGCAGGGGGCAAAAAATTGAGTTTGATAATATGACTATACAACTTAAAACAGTGCCATTTATTGTTATATCTTCATATATGAACATCAAAAGAAAAGTATGAATTAATATAGACCCACATCCACTACACACCTTGAACCAACACTTTGACATGAGGAAGTAGTATTTAACAGAGTCTTTTCCAAACTGGTCTGCAGCGTAAAGGCCCATGGAACCATATTCATCATAGATCTGCCGTTTGTTCTCATCATTAAGAATGGAGTTGGCATTGTTGATCTCTTTGAACTTTTCTGCAGCTTCTGGGTTGTCTGGGTTTTTGTCTGGGTGATATCGCAGTGCTAGTTTCCTGGAGGAAAGAGGTAAAATGTTAACACAGTCAACGTCTTAATAAAAGTCCATCTATACAATGATAAACAATTTGACTAGGTATGCATCTGAGTGGTATTAATATCACAATGCTACGACATAAAATCCCCTTGTTTTCCCCAGCATAAATACATATGAGTAAATAGGGCTGGGTTTCAATCTAAATTTAGTACTTTTATGGTACTAAACGAATTACTTCAATACTACCAAGTATCAAAAACATTTTATTCAACACCAAATTTCAATACCTAAGTTCAATAAGTCATGGCATCAGGGTGCCAATAAGCATACTTATTCCAAAATCTAGATTACAGTCTCAATTACATTAGCGTGGTAAGCTTGTTAATGTCAGTGCTTTTTAAATTCTGTGAGGAGTTCCTTTAATTACTTACACTATAATCCACTGAAATATGACTTTTAATTCAACAGTTTTTGTATTCAACAGTTTTTGTAAGATGATGAAAAACTATTGCTCAGAAATCAGTATTGAAGTCAAGATACAAATAGCAACATCAAAACGTTTTGACGATAGCCAGCCCTGAGTGTGTGTGTATATATATGTAGATGTAACACATTTCAGTTACTGTTTGTTGTTTGGATCTAGTTTAGAAACATGATCAGCAGAAATGCTTATTGCTTTAAGTAGTTAACTATAAAGCGGGATACAGACATAAAAACCTCACCACAAGCAATATGTCTATTAAAAGTACTCATACTGATTTCCAGTACTGACCAGTACTGGTACTGATGTAACAAGCTTTTAAGTTGCTATTGTTACAGGCTCGACATCACAACCATAGAAGAGCCCTTTTTGGTGCTATATAGAATCATACGTAACACATTCTCCATCAGTCTGAAGAACCATTACACCATGCAAAGAACCCTTCAAGCATGCAAATGGTTCTTTGAGTGTGCATGGTTCTACATAGAACCACTGTCTTTACTAAAGAATCCTTGAACAACCATCTTTTTCAATAGTGTAATTAATTGGGTTCTTGGCATCCCAAACTCCCAAGCTATCATTTCTATCCATCTATCCATACAATAAGCTGAACTTTAAAAAGTGTCATACTATGGAATTTCCCTCTATCATTACCTGTAGGCTTTTTTAATCTCCTCAGATGATGCGCCCTTCTCCAAGCCTAATGTCTGGTATAAGCTGTCCCCAGCTCTGGACAGCTTGCGTTGAGGTTTGTTTGAATCTGTCATTTTGAAATTCTGCTCAAGACACAAGGCACTGACATAAATACATAGACTGCATAACCGGCTCACTCACATGCCTGAACATCTATGAGGAGGAATAAAAAAAAAGCTTACCTGTGTTCATAAGGCCTAATCACCTTTCTTATCTGCAGAGAGGCAGTTGGTACAATTAGATTATGTCAACACGCTGGATACCTAATGCTGTCTATAATAAGAAAGAAAGCAAGAAAGAAAAAGAAAGAAAGAAAGAGAAAACACTTTCGAAGAACTTTTCACTTCAGTCTACACTGCAGGAACAAAGCCAGTGGTAATGGTCACTGATATGTCAGGTGACCAGTAGAAGGTAGTCAGTAAAATATGACAGCTGCTTTAACATTTAACAGGTCTTGAAACAACTTCAGCAGATGTACAAACAGAATGTAAGGCGTATAGAATTTGACTTCTTCGTGAGTTAAGACTGTCAAATACTGCCAAACTGACACAGAATTTCGCTAAAAATCAACACTGACTGTCCGTAAGTAAGATTACTGTACCTTCGGCAATCGGATAAATCCAGACACTGACGGGATTCCTGAAACCTCAGAAACTCTAAAAAGCTTTAGGTGTGACCGGTAAAACAGGCTGAGAAGTTGAAGATAAAACCTTTAAGAATGTAACGTGACGAAATCTCTACATCTGCTCACCTCTGTTAGCGTCAGATCAGCAAGATCACGGTCTCACCATGTTGGTCGGCAACAGCCAAGCTTTTATACTGTCTATTTCACTTTATTAACAATTTTTTTTTAATTTAAGTTTTTAAAGAGATACAATATCAACCCAAACGAGAAGAAACTGAGAAGTCGACTTTGTGAGGGTTGGACCAGGAAGTGTGTGCGTCGTTCCGGAGTTTACTTCATAAGTTGGCATGTGCGCGATAAAGAGAGGAAAAGTGAAACCCGTACAATTACACTGGGACCAAAAGTGTGCAAGATACAATCAAACTGAAGCATTATAGACCACTTTCGCTGTTGAAAGAAATATCAATGTTATAATATTAGAAAGGTACATAATGTTTTCCACTATACGTTACTGTTTTTAAAACCTCCTTATATCCAAAATTGCTACAAATGTATTCACAGTATTTTGGGATGAAACTCTTCAATTACTAATTATGAAATGAGCCTTTTTACACAGATGAGTTGTCTTTAAACTGCTCTAATCTCTTCCTTCTCTTCTCTTACAAAAATCTATAATTATATAAACCCCAGGCCTCCAGCTCCACCAGGTGCACTTTGTAGTTTCACAATTACAGACTGTAGTACATTTGCACAGAATTTTGTCTGTTTAGTTATACTTTTTATGAGGGTTTGTATGAAATAAGGGTAAAAGGCATGAAACTATTCTCACTTACACAGCACATGTATATAATACATTTATGGCATAGAATATGTGTGTCAGCTGACTGACAAGCGAGAAGTCTTGAAAGTAAAGATTTGACCTTTGATTTTTATTGTGTTCTCTCATAAAAAGCTTGTGAATGTGTGCATGTTAAAACAAGAAAGAGAGTCTAGAGATAATCAGGTTTGTCTATGTTGATTTCACTGGTCAAGTTTCAAAAAATTTTTATTATGATTTTTCCAATATTTTTATTGGCCTCCATGTGTCTGTGAGCCTCAGCAATGTCATCCAAGTTGAACACACTGTCGATAACAGGCCTCAGTGACATAGGCTGGTCTCCTGACTGGAAGTGTGGCAATGCTTGTTCAGTGAAGCTCCTAATCAGTTCAGCTTTATACTATAAAATAAAGAAAGATGTTGGTTGATGTAGTAACAGATGATTTCATTACAAGTACAGTACCACACAAAATATTAAAGGGGGATGTTACAAATTTTTCCAAATGTTCTGCATAATGTCAGTGGTTGAGATGTGAACAAATCATTCAGAGTGGTTTAATGTGAAATGGTTTATTGTACAGAAACCTGCTGATTCTGATTTCATTACAGTGGTGGTGATAAGAACTAGGCGTTGCAATGTATATAACTCAAATATAGCCATTTTATTTGCAATTCAAAACCACCAGTGAACTTAAATGTGTCTTTTGAGTTTTATATGTAATGTTGATAATGGTAAAATAGTGATAAATCTGGGGGGAAAAAGTTTTCTTTGGGTACTGTTTCGCTTTATAATGCCCTGCAAGTACCTGTATAGCATTCATGAAGTGAAAAAAAATGTTTTAGGTCAAAAACCTTATCTCAAAACTATTGTAAATCAAAGTTTCAGGCATCAGGCAGTGTATTCATAACCATTTCATCTATTCATCTTCTCTGAGGGAGCTTTTTTAGAGGCATCAAACTCTTAAGACGTCTGGTTCCCATCACCACAAATGTGAACGGTTATGACTTAGTAAGTTACACTACAACAGAGTACTAAAAAACCACGTAAAACATAAAACCACTCTGAATTACTTTGTTTACAACTACTTAATTCAACATTCAACTGTACATACAAGCTTTGCAGTTTCTATGCTGAGTCTTACCTGTAGACTTCGTGACCTGAGGAGGCTACTGAGAATGTGGCCTCGCTTAAACAAAAGCTTGCCAAGCAAGTCCCCTTCCACTGACTTTCCTCCCATTGCACCATAAAGCACCCATCTTCCATCCATAGCCAGGCTGCGTATGTTCTTTTCCCAACAGGATCCACCTATGCAGTCCAGGATGACATCAACTCCCCTGCCTACAAGACCACACAATACTTTAACCGTGAAATGTATCTTAGTAATTTTGAATCAAGAATTTAATTTTATTACCAATCTCCATAATCCTGTAGTCTAATGCACACTGGTGAAGTGTTTTAAAATACCTTAATGCATGCTTTCCATTACTAACCTTCTGTGAACTGCAGAATCTTATCAGAGAAATCACCCTCTTTGTAATTGAACCCAGCAGCAGCACCTAGTTTCACTGCAGTATTTATTTTCTCAGGGCTTCCCGCAGTCACTACTGGAACAGCACAACTCAGACGAGCCAGCTGAATGGCAGCAGTGCCGACTCCACTTGCTCCGGCATGAATTAACACTGACTCTCCTGCCTTAACTCGAGCTACGACAAAAACAAAGCATGGCTACATATTACATTTTAGATTTATTACAAATTAGACTGTCCTAGAAACAATAAAGATTTCTGGCTCAAACTCATTGCTGTGCATATATTAATCCAAGATAAACTTCAGTGAAACAAAGAAAACACATCCTAAACACTCTCCTGACTGAAAGGTTGAACACTGGAAATGATGATTTCAACTGGCCTGTAAGCACCTATTAAGTGCAGGAGCTGGTAAGCAGTCAGCCAGGCCTCTGGGATTGCTGCAGCTTCATCAAGGGTAAGATGTGAAGGGACTGGCATAAGAAGTTCCTCAGGCACAGCAACATATTGTGCATAACCTCCTCCTGAAAGCAAAGCCATGACTTTGTCCCCTGGCTTAAAGTTCCTCTTGACCCAAGGACCAATGCAAGCAATTACCCCAGCAGCCTCCAGGCCAAGGATCTCACTCTCTCCAGGAGGAGCTGGATAAAGACCTCTTCTCTGTCACAGGAAACCATTCAATGTAATTACTGCATAAAATGCATTAAGTACTGTACATGGACATGTGTGTACCTGTAACAAGTCTGCACGGTTTAAAGCTGTTGCATGGACTTTGATGAGGACTTCTCCATCTTTAGGTTCAGGTCGCGGGACTCGTCCTAAACACAGCTTCTCTGGACCGCCTGGTTCTTTCACACATACTGCAAGCATTGACGACTAAAAAGGTGAAAACAGAACTGCTTAATTACACAAGACTACATTTGTGAAATAAGTATTTTAGAGTTTGTCCAAGCTTAGACTTACAGTATCTTCATCTGGATGTTGATTCATGGATATACAGGTAGATATTTACAAAGAGTGCTGCAAAAAGACAATATTACAGACTGAACACAAGGCGCTATACAAAACATTTCAGTCACAACGTCGGGGTTGACTGAAACACGAGGACTGCGCAAGTTATGCGCACAGTTGATGTTCTCGGTTCTAAACACTGTAGCTCAAAGTCCGGTAAAAACGTATCTGAAAAACCTAAATTTAGTCTAAATTACGGACTTATAAAGGCGAACATAGTTAACAGTAGTTCTGTCTTGACTTTAGATACATTTTAACCTATGACTATGGATTAAACCGAAGACTTTAAGCGTGAACGAAATGTAAATGTTTTTAATTATTTATCTTACTTGTTGTAACTGCCGTTAGTTCACTTTAGGGAACGTTCCGTACAAACACTTTCACTCATAATACTGAACAGAGGAGATCATCCTAAAAGGAAAGACTTAACAGTTAATATTGGTCTTTACACTTACCAGTTAAATCAAGGCTCTTGTTTGATTGGTTTACCAGAAGTCTGTAGGATAAATGTTTCCGCTAGAGGTCGCCAGATTCGTATTGGTCTTTAAACGTGCCAGTTAAAAATAAAACATCACCGCTAGAGGTCGCCAGAGCCGAGCCGACTTATACCATTAAAAGAACTACCTGTATGATTTAACTTCATTCATAAAATGAACAAAATAACTATGACACATTTTTATTTCGGCCGCATTATGTTTGACATATTGACATTTTAAAAGAAAACTGCCACATTCAAGGGATTATACATACAGAAGCCCACAAAGTAGTATCTGTGCCACTGTTAAACATGTTCCAAGCTGTTATAGATGTAAAAATGTCAGAGCAAAGGCATTTATTTTAGAGACCATTCTAAGAGTGTAATTCTCTTTTTGTCAAAGCATTCTTTAGAAAGGCAAAAGGATGTGTTTTATTAACATTACATCATTAACGTTTGAGCAGTTTATTTAGTTTGCATTCAGAGGGCCTTTGTATACTTCATGATCCCATTATTGAATACCTGTTCATTGACACCAATATAAGAAAAAACAGCCCCAGACTTTGACTCTTCTACCTCTGTGGTTTACAGTACTTATTGTGCAGTCTGCTTGGAATTCTTCTCCCGTCTACCATCAGGCTGATGTTGTGCTAAAAGTGTTTATCTCTGAAACAAATATCCTTCTTTTTTTTTTTAACATTTTATGAAGCAACCTAAAGAACTTCATTTTATCAATAGTTAAAGTGTCCAAATACTTTTCAGGGCCACTGAATGCAATAGTTTAAGTCCAATTTATGCTTAGAGAGCTCAGTTTTGAAGAAATGGTACAGTAAATCATGCTAATGTTGCCAACAGTGAATGAAAGTAAATTGTCACCAGTTAGCATTATACAGATCATATTGTGTCAACTGTTAGCTAACAGCTTCCATTCATTTTTAGCAGCGTTAGCATGCGTGGATGAACTATTACTTCAATATTTTTGTTGAGTGTTTTTCATAAAACAGGATCTTTAAACCTAAAGTGAGTATTGCTCAGCCATACTCTTCAACACTCCTATGAACATGCTTGCTTTTGGCTTAAATTACCCTGAAAAATTCTGCCTTGTCAAATACTCCCCCCCCCCACCCTCTCCCAAAAACTGGTTTGACCAATTCTTACTGTTTACAAACCCAAGTATCATAGCAGCACCTTCAGTGTGTATTTGTGTGCATCATCTTCACAATGAAACGAGACGACAGTGATTTAAAACCTGAAAGTCGAGGTATGTTATTTACATTTATTTATTTACATTCAAGATTGTGTGTAGTTATTACTGACATATTCCAAAGCTTTTTTATTTACAAAAAAAACTAATTTTTAACAGTATTTGGAGAAAGTTTCTGTTGAACTAGCTCTTGTAACCCATCTGCTTTACTGTACTGTACCTCAGGACATCATATCAACATGACTACAAAGTCAAACTTTAAAGGACCTTTGCTGTTTATGGATGTGAGACTAATGAATCACAAAGAAGACACTCATCTTCAGTGGAAACTGGAACAAATCCACAGAAAATACAGATTAAATCTCAAACTGCTTTATCAGGAGCGAGAATTGTTGTTGACGGAACACAAAAAGTTGCTGCATTTGAGAATTTGTGAACCTTACGCAACTATTAACAATACAATGAGAGCCATATCAGAGACAAAAAACGACCTGCAACATATTCGTCATTCAAGGTCAGCTCCAGCTGTAAGAGGGACACCTTCATCTAAATTTCTTTCAAATGAAACAGATCAGCTCATAAGAATGAGGTCCTCAAAGTCAGCATCACCATCTGCCCTGAAGCAGGGTTCTGCTCTCTCTCTAACACCAGCCTTCAGAAGAAAGGCTTCAGAAACAGGTCCATTATCCATCGTTCAACTAAAGGAAATAGCGTTAATTGACAGCATTTCTCAAAAAGAGCTGGCAAGCCAAGAAGAACAAGAGAGACAAAGAAAGGAAAGACTGAAACAAATCCAGAGAGAAAAAATTCAACAGAAAATGCAGATTTTCCTCAGGACTCTAGAAACAATCTGAGTATATACACTGTATGAGTACGGAGCCCTGCTGGTGACATCCTGTATAAATAAAAATAATGCATGGCCACAACTTGGTAAGGTACGATCTCGTTCCCACGCCTTACTAAGTCGTTGCCACACATCACCAGCAGGGCTCCGTAGTATGAGCTCTAATATAGTATTCAAGCACTTTATGTTATCGTCCTTCCATTTCAGGCTTACTTTGGACTGAGACAGTTATGTGAAGGCTTGTATTATTCAAAAAATGCTTGAATATACATTATATATATATATATATATATATATATATATATATACACACACACACACACACACACACTGTATATTAGTATATGTACTGATTATATGAATTCAGCATATTAATAATACTTCTTAAAAAATGTGCTCCATTCACTCAGACAATGCTTCCCATTTTCCTCATGGTCAAAAGAGCACTGTGAACCGGTGATTCCATCAGTAACACCTGGTTTTTCTTCCACTGTGGGGATTCTGCAAGTGTTTTATCTATTAAAAAAGGAAATAATGATGGTGACCAAGTATCTATACCTATTATCCATTTAATTTATATTAGATAATGTACATAAAGTAATGTATTTGAAGTTTGCAGTCATTAAACATTAGGATTAGATTTGCACTGAAGAATCTTGCCATCAAAGCAATAAAAATAAGTCTTACTTTCACTCTCAATGGTAACACGAGTAGGCAGACACTGGGTGAGGTCACCATACTCCAGTGTGCACAGAACAGCTGCTTCAGTCTCCTCTTGTGTTTTGCACATGAAGACGAGAAAGTTGCAAAGTTGATTTCTTTCAATCACTTCTACTGTCCCAATGAGCTCCTGTAGCCCAAAAAATGGAATCAGACAGATAAAAGAATTAGTCCAACATGAGCAGAAATTTGAACACCCCCGGTCAAATTACATGTTTTGTTCATTTTCTAAGTGAAAACAAGTTAACACATTCTCCTTTAAAGAACAAACCTCAATATGACATTCTGCTGTAAAATTCTGTGCACAATTTGCTGATTTTAACATATCTGAATAAAACGTAAAATATAAAATGTGATATAACTTTTATGCCACATACACATGCAACATTTTATTTTTGCCCAATATGTTAAATTCAGTAAATAAACAGTAATTGTGCAATAAATTGATGCACTAATTTTTCCCTTAGAAAATCAATAAAACACATAATTTGGCCAAAGGCACCCAAAGAATTGAGAAGGACCATTAACTCTGTGTGTGTCGTACCTTGATGAGCAAAATTTGTTGCTTGCGTCCAGCTAAAGCATTGAGGTGCAAGCTTAGGATCTCAAGGAAAACTTTAAAATCAGTCTGTAGATGCTCTTTGGCAAGTCTCTCCAGCGGGACACATGGAGGGATGTTATGACGACTGATCTGCACAGTGCGTGTTAAGTCCATTTCCACATTGTACGTTTCCAAGTACACGCCCTCAAAGGCAGTGCGAAATGACACACATACACTTTTGCCTTGTTTACTCTCTATCAGATTATATCCACCTGAGAAAGAGAAGGGACAAGATTAATATTTGAGTCAGACTACATAATGTCTGAGCACACTACGTTAAGAAAAATTAAAATAGTATTACACGTAGTTTCAGTTATAATGTACAGTCCACTTCAACACTTTTTCATGGTTGCTTTATGGACATTTTCATGTTATGCTCTATTTATCTATCTATTTATAAGCTTTAATGGTTTTACGTTTTCTGTTGTTCTAATCTTTTCACACCAAACAAAACATCATGTGCAAAAGTTTGAACACCCCTGGTAAAATTACATGTTTTGTTTATTTTCTAATTGAAAAATAAACTAACAAATTCTCTATAGTAAACTTAAATATGGCAATATTTTTCCAAACATATTGGGAAAAACATAACATTTTATATTTGATTTTTTCCCCATATGTTAAATTGAGCAAATGAACAGTAACTCTGCATTAAATTGTGCAGAAGTGTGTTCTCTGCAGATAATGAGACAATGCATACTTAATTTCACGTATAATACTACAGAACTTGACTTGAACTTTTGCATGTGACTGTATGCTATCCGTATTCCAAGTGATAGAGAACAGATACTGATTTTTACCTATGAGGTGATAAGCTGTTTGAAGGTCCTTCAGCTGCATTAGCCTGGATTTCAGCAGAAATTGCTCAAGTTGCATGAAGTCATCAGTTTCCTCTTCGTCCAATGGCAGCCCTTGGTCCAGTTTATCTTTTAGATTCTGAAATGACACAGTGATAGGGACACGGTCTGAGACTACCGGCCTTATCAAACTATGTATGATAAGATATAATAAGATATGATAAGACCCATGCAAGACTAGACGTGATGTCCTCTCTTGGTTATACCTTTAATGCTGCCGTTTCAGCACAAAGTCTCTCTCTTTTAGCACGGAGTGTTAATATTGCAGCATGAAGCTCCTTTACATGATCTTGCTTTTGCTTTTCCTGGCCTGTTGTTCCAGCCTTCTCCAACATCAACAGGTGATCAAAGACACCTGAGAGACAAGAGGTTATACATACATTAAGGTAATCTTACTTAATGGCATGACACCTATTAGTGACACTCTATGAATAATAGTACATCTGATGCTAAAGAAGTGAAAAACAAATGAATGTAGCAAATATACGTGTAAGATATGAATTACTTTTCCTTTTGCCCTCTCCTTCACCTCCTCACACAGACACACCCAACAGAGTGAATGCTGTGTAATGGCAGATCATATTTCACAGTTTATTTAATATTAATATGAAGGCAACAGATACAATTTCTGATCCCCAAGTTTTCTGGTTTTCACTAAAGAACTCAGAAAGAATTGTTTTCAAAAGACATAATGAAATACAAATATTTCTACTGGGGTGTGAAAATGCTTACTGCCTTAAATGGTTTTACTACTGAGAGAAAGAATGTCCTTTTGCATATGCTTTCTTTTATGCTCCAAAATATGTTGTCTTTTTGTTGAGCCAGCTGTACTGTCTTACAGTTGGGGGACCTTTGACCCAGACCCCCTTCACCTTCTTCCCCAAACTTTTGATCTTTCCCACTTCACCTGCTTTCCTTCCTCGACCCCCAGTAACTCTTCTTAAGCCATGTCAGACTACGTGTTTATTAGACTGGTGAAAAACTAATGACCAAGCTGTGCCCAAGCATGATTCTCTGCATGCATGTGAATAAAATTCAGAATCTGAAGATCCAGTCTCCTGACTCTTTCAGACAAATTTCTAACACTACACAATAAAGACCCTAAATTGGTGGCTACAGTGACCAACATCTTAGAACACTGCCAAAACAAATATAAAAAGCGTCCGTAACGCATGTAAAATAAACGTTACGCCATATGGAGGGGAAAAAAAACACACACACACACACTTAGGATTACTACAGTGCTCTTTATAGTAAATACAATGTTTACATAGTAAACTATAGTGTACTATAGTACTCTAATACATGCCTTATATTAGTGTTTACTGTAGTACATTATTATAAAAGGGATAGTTCCACTGTTCTGACAAAGTTTCTTACATTGTCAAGATGTCCTAACGACATATAGCTATATCTTCTTCCATAAAACTGGACCAACTTATCAGAAAATGCTACCAGCATTTAAACTACAGACAGAATATTATGACAGCCTAAATCACTTCATCAGACACTCGTAACACACTATTTTATAAGTCTGTATACTATCTGCACATGCGCAGTAGGACCGGGACGGGACAAAACGTTAGAACACTTGCGCTCAAATCTGATTGGCTGAATGTTCAATATATATACTTGATGTGCGCGCAACTATGACCGCTTCACAACGAGTCAGTATTAAGGCGCCAAAGCACTAAAAACTACTGTGCTATGAATGGACAGATACGCTGCTCGCACCACCGAGTGCGCTGATAAATTAAGTAAGAACCCAGATTATTTATTTATTTTTTTTAAACTGAGGGGCTGGCAAATTACTTCCTTGACAACTAACTAAGGCTAAAAGCTCTAACAGGCTCAGCCTCCTCTCCATTATTGTTCAGTCTTAAGGCCTACTTTAAGTCACGTTACTGAATTTCCATCCACCTAGCAAACCTTAGATTCACTGCTAGCCTCCCTGTGACGGTGCTAAATTAGCTACCGGTGTAGTATAAACTCCCGTAAATTCACCTTGTTTTCTCACGATGTCCATTTTCGTGTTTGTTGTGATGCTCCACGTTCAAATCTGGCGCTTTCAGCGCTCACCACCCGCCATTAATGCGGACGTGAGGTCACAGCGAAAGACGACGTCACATGTAAACAGCGCCTCCAAGGGCGTCAGTGCTCAGCAACGTTTGCGCAGAGCGGATTTATTTCTCAGTTCTGTTTAAGAATGTTTCCCGATTCATCACAGACGGGTGATTTGTGACTCGTTACAGAATACGGCCGTGCGTTTCCGCGCTCTGAGAAACATACGATAGCTACGGATCAGTTTTACACGCAAAATGTGAAAAATCTGAAGAGGGAGGCCAATCAGCAAGACGGCCAAAAACAGTGTGGTGGTATCAGACAATAAACGAGCCAAATGAAAGCCTGACACTGACTATAGCAAGTGTAATGGTGCGTTGGTAATCTGAGCCAGCTAACCTAGCTAACTTCAGGAGCCGCTCCTTTTCTCAGGATGATCTGTTCTGGTTGGGTCGGACAGTGATGAGTAGAACATGCGGAGCTGTGAAATGCGCAGTGTTGTTATAGGAAAATGTGAACAAGGAAGTGCTGAGTGTAGATCTCTCGGTATGTAAAGTAGTTGTAGAGGTAAGTCAGTCTGGGTGTTACAGACTGTTTATTTTAACACGTGAGTACTTGACATTGAAACATTAACTGACGGCTGAGTGTGTGTTTCATTGTCCAGGACCTTTGCTATACACGTGGAATCTCTGATGTATGCTAGTTAAAGTGGAATTACACCAAATTTCCAAAATGTCTACATAATTCAATGCTATAACATTTTTAGTGTTCTATAATACTTTTATGATAATCTATAAAATGTTTGCCTCTTATAATATGCCTGTAGTACTTTATTATAGTAATCTATTTTATTTGTATTTGTAGTTTTCTGTAGTAATTGCCCAAGTGTACTATAAGATTATTATAGAAATCCCGTATAAATTCCTACAGTATTGCTATAGATCTTTTATCATAGGTGACAAGTCACAAAATATAATGAGAACTATTTCTCTCTACTTTTTACAGTTGCAGGTGCTCATCAGTCCATATGGATGACTGCAAACAAATCCACTGTTCTCTGAGAACCTGTTGGTCCAGCCCATAACTAACACTCAGATACGATCAGTATGGATGTCATTGGACAGAAGTACTTCACAACAATTGACTTTGTTTTGTTTGCCCTCCTTCTTGTGGCCTCCATGGTCATAGGGCTGTACTATGCCCTCTCTGGAGGACGACAGAGAACCACTCAAGAATTCCTGTTGGCTGACCGGAGCATGAAGTGCCTACCCCTTTCCCTGTCACTCATGGCCTCTTTCCAGTCAGCTGTTGCTATAGTCGGCACACCAGCAGAAGTCTACACCAATGGCACACAGTACTGGTTCATAGGCTGCTCCTACATTCTGGGACTCCTTATTCCTGCCCACGTTTTCATTCCAGTATTCTACAGACTGCATCTCAGTAGTGCTTACCAGGTATACCACTGCTTTTTGACCCACACCCCCCCTCGTGTTAACTCATGTCTGTTTGACATCTAGTGTTTGTTCTTAAAGTAATGATTGTGTGATGTGTAGATGAGATGTGAGTAAATGTGTTATCTTTATAACACATGATTAATGGCAAGAGCTTCTGCAAACAGTGAGAGAAGTCTGTATCCCTGAATAACATAAGCATGTTGCACATTTGAAGTAATTGATGTACCAGCACTTTTTAATCCCTTTTTGTTGCTTCTGTATCTAAGTATCTGGAACTCCGTTTTTGTAAAACGGTCCGGATCTGTGGAACAGTTACCTTTATTTTTCAGATGGTAAGTTGCAGATTAGAAGAAGCCCATGACACCTAAACACAACACTTATGCATGGATTGTCTCATCATAGTACATCATAATGAATGAATTGTTTGGCTGTGGCAGGTCATTTACATGGGTGTTGGCGTGTATACTCCTGCCCTTGCACTAAATGCAGGTGAGGTTCTTTGAGTATAGTCTGATAGCCATCATGATACAGACATATGCAAAAGTTTGCAGCGTACCTGGTCAAATTATTATGTTTTTTTTTTTTATTTATTTTTGTGAAAATGGGTACATATCTTTTAAAGGGAACACACTTTTGCACGTTGTAATGCACAATTACTGTTTATGTGCTGAATTTAACACATTGGGGAAAAAAACATAAAAAATTGTGGCCTGTGCAAAAGTTACGGCTATAGATTTTGTTTTATTTTTTTTCAACATGTTAAACTTAGCAAGTGTACTAAAATCTACAGAAAAAGTACTGTATTTACTTGCTTCCCTGTAGTGGATGTGTTAATTTATAGTCACTTAGAAAAGGAGCAAAGTGTAATTTGTCCAGGGGTGTTCAAACTTTTGTGTACTACTATATATCTAAACTTTGTTCATTTCCAACTATTACTATATTTATATACGTATTATTTCTAAGACAGTTTTGCTATGTGGTACCTTTAGTTACTGGTTTTCACTTATGGGGAGCAGTATTAGCAACTGGACTAGTATGCACAGTGTACACTACTTTGGTAAGTGCATTTATTTATTTATTTTTTTCCCTCCTATTCTATGAAAACCGTGATAAGTAGTTCATTGTGTCGGTGTTTGCGGCTGCCTTGCAGGGCGGACTGAAGGCAGTGATCTGGACTGACGTGTTTCAGACATTGGTGATGTTCGCAGGTCAGCTGGCTGTCGTCATAGTGGGTGTGCAGCAAGTTGGTGGGCTTTCTAATTTTTGGAGGAAAGTCAGAGAGGGAGACCGCATCTCCAGCATTGAGTAAGGAAAATTTTTCAATGATGGTGAATGCAAACAAAAGCTTTTACAAGTAGGTATGTTTGGTTAGACATTTATAATGTATTTACATGAGATCAGTGGCTGGTACTTACATTGTTTCTTTTAAGCTTAAATCCAGACCCAACTGTGCGGCACACCTTCTGGACATTAGCACTTGGTGGAGTGTTTCTGATGCTTTCTTTGTATGGGGTGAACCAGGCGCAAGTGCAGCGATACCTCAGTTCTCGTACAGAGAAAGAGGCAGTAATGTAAGTGTCTCTTGAACCAAGTGTGTCAGATTCCAGCATTGAAGAGCCACAGCACTGCAGAGTTTAACATTCTGCCTCATTTGAATTCCCAGTTTTAAGTGAAACAATTACCAAGACCTTCAAGAGTAGAATCTGGTGTGTTACAAGAAGAAAAACCTTAATCTCTATAGAGCTGTGGTTCTCCAGGACCTGAATTTGACTCTTCTGTTTTATGCTATATTAAAGGGCCTATATAACGAACTATCTAATTGTCCTTGGATTTTTTGTTTAATATAGCATGTAAACATTAGGGTTGCACCGATTTGACATTTTCATCCCCAGTACAGATTGCATTGCCAATTCTGATACCTGAACTCAAGATACTGGCTGATACGGTGTACTGATACAAAATTTTTATGTTCATCAATTTAAAAAATCTGTATAGTTCAAATAATGTTCTGTTGCAAATATTTTACAGGCTCTGAAGTCTGACTGGTCTAACTGACATAGCTGGTTTGAAGCTCAACCCTCCTGCACATGAGTTTTATTCAGACACACTTTATTGCACTTATTGCTACCTGGGAGCTCAGTATGAAGCACTGTCTGTTAACTATATATATCTATAGAAACACATTGGACATTTGCAAGGATACAGAGTGTTCTAACTCCTTAAACAAGTTTTCTGGTAATGTGATTATTTATAGTTATTAGCTGTATGTACAGTATAAAATTTCATGAATGTAGAGGTGTTTATATTTAATGTTTGTTACAGTAACATAGTGCTAAAAAAAAAAAAAAGTTTGGGTACTGTTTTCCCTTACAACACCTTACATGTATCACACCACCATGAATAGATGAAAAAAAAAAAATACAATTTTAGGCCAAAATCTTGTCTTAGAATGATTATAAAACAAAGTCTCAAGCGTCAGACAGCACATTCGCATCCATTTCATGTAATAGCTTACTGTGATGTACTTTTAGAGGTGTTGGGTTCCTATGTAAAGTTTTATAGGGCAAAATAGCATCCCAAAGGATACTCTCACCCACCCCCAAAATGTCCCACTGTTGTACTATTTAAAACTCAGAAGACAAATGTAGAGTCACTGGTGATTTTGGATAGTAAATTAAATAGTAATATTTGTATTGTAGGTATTGCGACCCCTGGTTCCTTTCACCACCACTGTAAAGAAATATCGTTTTTTTTTCAAGACTCTCTGCAATGAGGCAATTTACTTCAAAGCACTCTCATTGTTTTTGTTTATATCGTAACAGTTTAATTGTGCAGAATTTGTGAAAAATCAGTGGAATTCCCCTTTATGGCATGATAACAAAAATAACCTGTTTAATTCTAAGATTTGGAGAGGTTGGAAATTGGTCATGTAAAATGTGCTGTTAGTTATGACTGTATTTTGGTACATAAATCCACACAAATGCACTAAGTGGACCTCAGAAGTGGACAAGAAAAATATTGAATATGGGCCGTTTTAAGAAAGTGTCTTCAGGGGGCATTAAAATTAGGTGCTTCTCTTCTATAGCTCTCATTAATGACCCTTACGCTGTCTTGCAGGTCATGCTACATGGTGTTTCCATGTCTTCAGATTGCTTTGGGTCTAAGCTGTCTAATGGGACTTGTTATGTTTGCATGTTACGGTGATAACAGCTCTTTAAACAAACAGTTCCTCACTTCTAAAGACCAGGTCAGCATCACTTCCATATCAGCATGCAGGATTTACTATAAATGCTGTTATAGATGCGCAAAAATAATTTTATTGCGGAAATAACTTGTCCATATCATTTATACATACATTTAATGTTGCACTACAGATGGTCCTGTACTTTGTCATGGACATGCTGCAGGACTTCCCTGGACTGCCAGGATTGTTTGTTGCATGCTTATTCAGTGCATCTCTGAGGTATGGGTAAGCTATTACAGCATTCTGTAGATTTATTCACCTTTTTGATTCATTTCTTGGAGCATTTTGGGGTGTAATACTTTCTAAAAAGCACCTGGAGAAAGGCCTAAAAATGCTGGGCCACAGGAACCCTGGTACGCTCTCAAGATTGATGTAACTGCTGTTAGTGGGACTGTGCCTGCTGAAAACAAGTAAACTAGTGTTGTTTGGGATTTGTGTCTCACTGACTGTAATGGATCATTTTGTTTAATGTGTATTATGAAACGCATTGAAAGGGCCCATCTCATGGAAACCTGAATTTCCTTCACTTTATTGAAATAAAGGAGTTTGAAGTAATGTGTAAACATTGTTAAAGTTTCAAAATGTACCACTCACTGCCCAGTCTGTATAGTCCTTAAAAACAGTCTGTTTTGAATTCAGTGTTTCTGTGATGTTACAAAAAACAGCAAATTTACATATATCCACCTATTTGGCCTAGAGCAGTTTAGCCCCACCCACTCATATTGAAGTTCTAAGGAGTGTTTCAAGGAGTTTCTAAGGAGTGCTTTTTGCATGAGGCACAATACAGGGCAGCCAGTCAGAACAGAGATCAGTTAAGTTCTGTATCAGCCTTAAAAGCGCACTAACATAAACAGTCCATCTAATTCTTAGGGATAGAGAGAGGTTGGAAAATGGTAATGTATAAATTAATTATGACCTTTTTTTGTATAAAACCACACAAATATCACAAGTGACCCTCAAGGGGGAAAACACAAAAAGTAGCATATGAGGATTGAACTGTGTTTCATGTCACATTTTGTATTTCATGCAAGAAAGTATACTTTGTGAAACTCAGGGCCAACAGGGTTCTGCTATATAGAAGCCTTACTGAGAAATACAATTATTTCAGTTCTGATGTCAACTGAAGCTAAAAACAGGTTCTGTAGGATGGATCTTGTAAGAGACTAGGTGAAAGGACAAAGTTGTTATCTGACCCACATAAGCACAACAAAGACTTCAGTCAGTGGGCTTTAATGTCTTTCATGTGTACAGCAAAATGTCACAACAGTAAGTTTCAGAATTAAATGAAATAGTGTTTAAACAGGCCAGGCTGATAAAGGCACTGAATAAACAAATGCTCATGTGTGCTTTTTCATGGAAGCTGGGTACTGTTCTGTTCTGATTTGCAGTTTCTTGAGCAGTAACCCACTTCCACTGTTTGAAGAATGAATTGTTTTAAAAACAAACAGTGACACAAGTTCCTGATGTTTTAAGTCTTTCTGTAACAAATTCCAAGCAGATGGTGCAGCATAACTGAAAGCTTGTTTTCCTAATTCAGTATATAGAGTGGGGATCATAAGATGTACAGACCATAACTCCCAGGTCCATTTTAATATATAAAATTACATATATACCAATGAAAAAGAATTTTAAAAAGTGGCAAAAGCAAGTTTCTTTTTAGCTTCAATAGATAATCATGACTTATCCCTAAAATAAAACCCTAGTTTCATCTTAAATTTCTTTACCAAAAGCAAAATTTGAGAATTAAATGTCAAAAAATGAGCTAATCCTTTTATCCCACATCACGCTCATGTAAAACACTAGCTATATCCGACTTAAACCAGGGATTTTCAAGGAAATAAAGGACAGTATTTAGGAAAGGTTGCATTTAACTATTCAGACATAGAACTTTCTGTTCTTTTCCAAAAAAAAGTGTATTGTGTGTAATCTAATTTACTCCAAATTTACTTTTGTGTGTGTGTCTGTGTGTGTGTAAAGGGATATATTTGCATTAATTTGTGACTGCTGTTCCTTTCTTCGAAGCACAATATCCTCAGCTTTCAATTCCTTGGCCACAGTAACAATGGAGGATCTGATCAAACCACATTGTCCTTCAATGACAGAGGCTAGAGCCACTCTACTCTCAAAGATACTTGGTGAGTCATTATGAGCACCTGTTTTGATTGTTTAATGCATGGTTTATAGAAGATTTCATTTTATACAGGAAAAAACACTTTTTTATTTTAATTTTAAAATGACAAGAAGTTCAGAGGGTTTAAACAAACGACTAGCATAATAGATTACTTATATGTAATAATTTTGGTTGTATTTCCAATCTAGCGTTTTCTTATGGCCTTATATGTCTTGCTATGGCCTATGTTGTCCATTTGATGAACAGTTCTGTTTTGCAAGTAAGTACATTTTGACTGTGGTTATATTTGGAGTTGTCATGTGTTTAAACAACAATCTGAAGGCAAAAGCAAAGAAAAAGGCAAAAACACATAAATTATGTTCTGAGATATATTGATACATACACCATGCAACAATGTATTCTGAGTAAAATGTTCCCCTGTATTACTCATTTCCAGGCAGCACTCAGTATCTTTGGCATGATAGGAGGACCCTTGCTGGGTCTCTTTTGTCTTGGGATATTTTTCCCGTGGGCCAATAGCACTGTAAGTGTGTATGTGTGTATGTGTGTGTGTGTGTGTGTGTGTGTGTGTGTGTGTGTGTGTGTGTGTGTGTGTTTAAGGAAAGCATATATGAAGTTCTATGTCACTATCTGGACGCTGTCCTGGTAGCTCCAGAGGGGTTACTGCTCAAGAAAAAGCACACAAGCATTTGTTTATTCAGTGCCTTTATCAGCCTGGTGTGTTTAAACACTATTTCATTTAATTCTGAAACTTAGTGTGACAAAATGTATTTCAAATTGAAACATCTGTAGCATTCCCTTCTCATTAACTATACAGTGCTGCATTTAATATTTTGCTGTACACATGAAAGACATTAAAGCCCACTGACTGAAGCCTTCACTATACTTGGCTCATGAGGGTCAGATAACAACTTTGTCCTTTCACCTAGTCTCTTACAAGATCCATCCTACAGAACCTGTTTTTAGCTTCAGTTGACATCAGAGCTAAAATAATTGTATTTCTCAGTAAGGCTTCTATATAGCAGAACCCTGTTGGCCCTGAGTTTTTCACAAAGTATATTTTCTTGCATGAAATACAAAATGTGACATGAAACAGTTCTCTGGCATTAAATCTACTATGAAAAACATTTTTCACAATAAAAAAGGGACCATATGCTACTTTTTTGTGTTTTCCCCTTGAGGTTCACTTGTGATATTTGTGTGGTTTTATATAACAAAAATGGTCGTAATTAATTTATACATGACCATTTTCCAACCTCTCTTTATCACAAAGAATTAGTGTGTGTGTGTGTGTGTGTGTGTGTGTATGAATATTCTTGTAATAATCAGAGAGCAGTGCAACAGAACTAATCTCAAATCTTTGGTTGTATTTCTTGCAGGGTGCTGTGACGGGGCTGGTTGCTGGTCTAGTCATGGCCTTTTGGGTTGGCATTGGTGGATTTTTGACTCAGATGCCGATCAGTGTCACCATGCATTCCCAGAACTGCACTGATACAGTAGCAACAGAGAACATAACCATGGCTACAGTGACTGCTATCTTGACTCCAGTCACTGATAAACCAAGGTAACATGCTGGCACAACTTACGTTTGTGATCTAGTGAGACACTGACTGAGAAATGTGTGATTTAATTGAGTGCAGTAAAGTGTCACATGATTCCTCTTTATCAAGGTGGATTCTGCATTGATTCTGCACTGTAATATCTTTATCAATATGGCTGATTTAAAATTGTCTAGCAAAATGAATATTCAATATCAGCTGCTAAAGCTTAGTAAAAAAAATGGAGTTGAAGTTATGTGGATCTCAGAGGTGAATGAAAGACTTGAAAACAATGTAGCTGCAGTACTATCGGGGCATTAGAGGACACTAATCTGATTTTTAAAAATGATCATTTATTTTGCTAAATAAATTGAACCAGAATGTGACCACAGTTCTGACTTACCTAATTTATTTTGGTACATTAACATTTTCAATTTTCAGCATCACAAAAAATAGAAAAAATAGAGAAATTAGCAAAATTGAGGAAAATTTTGAAATATTCAGTTCAAATTTATTTGTTTACTCTTTTTTTAAAGTAGACACCTGATAGCAGCAGAAAAGAAAACTCTCTAAGAGTCTCCAAGACTCAAAAGGAAAAAAAAATAGACCATCACAGTGTACAGTGCTCATTTCATGAACTTTTTACTTTTTGTCATATAACAATAAACATATGATAATACAGCACTGTTTAATGCAAAAACATTCGCTTTATAAGTACTTTTTGGTCACTAAATTTTCCCCGCAAGTCTTACATAGCCCCGTTCCAGCGGCACCCCTTCTCTCATGCTGGGGCTGCATTTCGAATTGTCCCCTGCTCCCTACATAGTGCATAATATAGGATTTTAAATACTGGCTTATACACCCCAGCAGGTATAATGTTGCTAAAAAATAGTTATTAAAAATAGTCATTAAAAAACATTTGGGATTCAGCCACATCCATACTCAACAAATTATGCACTATTTGGCTGTAGAAGCTAGAATTGCGAAAACTCCATAGCTAGTACTGAGTACACAAGGTGTTTGGGATTCAGCCTTTTTCTTTTTACCAAATAAACTGTAATTGTATATTAAAATGTACAGAAGTGTGGAAACTTTATTCTCACTTATTCTTAACTCAGTTTTTCCACAAAGTAGTTTCAGCTTCATTTGTTTCATATCTACCTCTTTTGCATACTAACTGACTACATTTTTTAATCCATTGGTCTCAATTAATGTACTCAATCTCCAAGTTTCTTGAATGACAGCAGTTTTTAATACAGTTGTCACATATTGCCAAGGATTAGGGATTTACCGGAGTCATTCAATATTATTGACTTTCTAGTTTTACATCTTTCTTAACATTTTGCTTGTAATATTCTGCTCTGTGTGTTTGTTCTTTTGATCTTAGCCATCTTTCCATCCCTGCTGCTGCACCACAACATGATGCTTTCTGCACTATAGCACGATACCACTTGCCATGTAAACCGAAATATTCTGTTTTCCCTCATCCTACTACAGCACATTGTCATATTTTCTCCTGAATCATTCAGATTCTTTGTTGGAAACTCTAGACAGACTTTTTGATAGAGAGTTGACATAATGTTGAGGAAAATGAAATGTTAACCGAGGCATATTTTCTCATATTTCAGCCGTTGACATTGTTGATCTTGTGATAGTATCTCTTACCTGTTTCCTCTTCCTGGAAGCTCAGTGTGGAGAATTTGTTTGGGTTACATGATGCTTGTTCCAGTTCTTTATTCTGGAGCAGGCACGCATATGCATGTTATTTTGATATGTAGTTTTGTTCTCCATTCTCTTGTTCTATGCGCTTTTCTATTTCTATTTTCTATTTCTTTTTTTCTTTACTTTGTTCAAAAGCTTTTTGGTCATTATGGCTGATTGTATTAACTGCCTATCCGAGGGTCCCTGTACATTCCTCAGATGGCTGTCGTTTTTATTCTGAAACCTGCTGATGCATTGTGTGCAGTAGTGCACACAGCTAGATGCCGCTCAACAATTTGGTGTGAATAGTGAGTAAAATGGACTTAAGCCTATAATTTTTTTTTACTAGAAACAACATAGATAACATTTTCTAATTGTTTTTTCGTGCCACAGTTGTGCCTTATTTGAATTTACATAAATTCAGTATGGATATGTAGTAAAGATTTCACAAAGGGATGTTAAAACATATTTTACAGAGGCAAATCAATTATACATTGTATGCCCCTAAAAATATCTTAGATTTAAGATATAAAGAAGTGGAATAGAAGTAATATTGCTTAGTCCTAATTGTCGTGGCCTAATATGTCCTAATTGTCGTGGATTGTCACATACTCCTGTGCATATGCATTTATGATGGACAATAATGTGATAATATTTCACATCATTTTTAACATAATATATACATATATACATTACATTATGTAGTGATAGTGTCCTCCATTCGACCTTGCAGGCAGAAAGGGGCCTTTTTTTTTGTTGTTCCCCTGAAGCTTTTCTTATCATAATGTCATTTATGTTTTTCTCTTTTCCTTTAGTAAACCTGTTGGGCTGCATGGTCTCTATTCACTTTCATACATGTGGTATAGTGCGCTGAACTCCTCCGTTGTTGTTCTTGTTGGACTCATCGTCAGTTTCCTCACAGGTATGATTTAATCACTTGTAAAATGAACAATAGTGCATAGAATTTATCCTTAGGAGAAAAATGTGTATACCTGAAGTGGCATAAAAAAGCTTCTTAATGGATTGTATTTACTCTGTTAGGGCCAATGAAAGAACAAGACTTGACAAGAGGGACAGTTTATCCTCTAGTGGAGAAGATACACTCTTTCCTGCAAATGCTAGCAAAGCCCAAACCTTGCTTGGGCTCCTCTCCAGAACACAGGGTAATATGTTCAACTAGTCAGTCTTCAAATGTATATAACCTGTCTTACACATTAGTCAGCATTGCTGTGGACTGTGAGTGCTGACTGCACAATGTTTTTGTGTTTCTAGCAAATCCCTGTACGCCATGATCAAATGAATGGTGTTGCCAACACAGAGAAAAACACTGAAATGGAGGAAGAAAGAGGGACTTTTCTCCCAGTATCCCAAATATCCTGTTTGGAGCAGGAAACAGCAGTGTGACTCACCATGAGAAAAACCATGAGTTGTAAGTACAGGTGTAAGAACAGCTCTGCAGTATTATGATATGGTATTAAATTTGCTTTGTTTAGAAAAGTGCTTTTTTCTCCTTTTCATCTGAGGTTATAAGAAGAACTCTCAGATCAAAAAGGAGTTGAAGAATTTGTATGAAAAGCAAAGCACCTTATGAACATCAATTGTGAACAAATGAAGAACCAAATATTGGGAGAATGTGAATCCATGATATGGTGACTGTAATTACTTGAATGCTGGTTTATAAACTTGACACTGTAAATTTAGTGTTTGCACTTGTATTGATGAGACATGAAATATGTGCCTAACTTGCAGTCCCATCCTGGGACAGTGAAGGCATAGTTGCCATTTGTGGTCTTCATTGAAGTGCTTGCAATTAGTAAATGCAAAATGACAATGTTTAAAGGGAAAATGTGAAGTGAGCATAAGTACATTAAAAGTACTATTAAACAATAAGTATATCAGTTACTAGGTTTCGTATCCCTGACTAATTTCTGACTAATGAAATCACTCAGATGTAAACAAAGCCATTTAGAGTGGTTTGATGTGAAATCCTCCTTTAACTCACTTACTTAGTATTGTTCTCAACAGTGGTGATAGGGGCCAGACCTCAGAAGAGCTTAATGCCACTAAAAGCTACTTACTGCTATATACTGCCTGATGCTTGAAACATTGTTTGGCAATAGTTTTACACATATTTTTTTAAAATCCAGAGATAAAAGCAGGTCATTTTAAGGCAAATTAGGACCAAAAGGAAAAAAAAATTACCTTTATTTTACGCTTATTAACATTTGTGTATACAATTTTAAGAAACACATGGAGGTTCACTGGTTGTTTTGGAAAATGGCTCGATTTGCGTTGTAGACATAGCAACCCCTGGTTCCTGTCACTACCACTTTAAAGAAAATCTGAGTCAGTAAGTTTCTCTACAGTGAATTATTTCACAACAACCCACTCTTAATGACTTTGTTTGCAGAAATATCTGAAATTAAAAATCTGTTGAATTCCCCCTTTAAGTTGCAATCTACTGACCCCAATCTTTGGAGTTAGTGTTCATGATCTAGCATGAAGACATAACTGCTGTTGAAAGAAAAGAAAGAAATATGAAAAAGTGCAAAAATCAAAACAAATGACAGTTTCCATATGGTTAAATAAACAATATTCTATAATCTATTGAAAAAGAAATAAATATACAGAAAAAACATTTGAGACACACAGATAAGGAAAGTAAAGAACAAATGAGAGGAAAAAAGTATTGTTTAGACTGCTCAATCTCTTAATTTATAAAAAAAAGACACTTCCACTTGAAGAGACTGTAAATGAGGCAGAAATACAGCAAAGCTTCACAAGGGAAGATTGTGTTAAGATGGTGATGTCAATTAATTACTGCAAGAATAAAGTGATTGAAGGCAAAGCATGTTGAACAAAAGCTTAACTGTAACTATTTTAATTTGTCCAAATACTTATGATACACTTAAAATGCGGAATTGAAAACAAAAAAATACTCTTCCAAAACAATAAAACACACAGAACTTAAAAAAATAGAAGGTGACTTGTACTTCTGCCTCATATTTGTTGAACTGAGTGAAGTAAGTAACGCACAGAAATATGGTTAAAATGTTCAGTTTTGGAATGTACTGTACATTTTTTCTTACAAAGCCAAAGCAAACATTTTGTACTGTATTATCAAAATATGAATTCTGTCTAATGCTAAAGATCATAAGAAAATAAAGTTCATCATGACTTTTCTGGTGCAGTTTTTCCAGACATAGTGGTTCTACTTGATATTCATTACTGTTTGTCATAAATCTTTGCAGTCATGACATAAGTAGTAATGTTTTACAAACTTAAAAATAGGAACGCTATAGCTTGTTATGTACCACCTCACTACCACCCATCTCTACTAAGTACTCACATCTCAACTAACCCTCTTTATATGTTAAATACATTAGCAAAAAGAGACTGTGTTGGGTAAAATAGCAACTGGAGTAGTTGCTTTTAGTCTGTGACACTTTATTGGACTTAATGTCCTGACAGTTATGACACTTTTATGATGTATGCCTGACAACACATCGTGCAGTACTGACAATAAAACTGAAGGAAGGGGGAACAATGTCATGACTCCTATGCAAATACAGTCATCATGTTGTACGTAACAGAGATCCTATCTATCTTAACATGGGCAACATTTACCTGTATAACTAGACTAATTTACATGTGTAAATTTTTCAGGCAGTCAGTTTCCATGTAAGCAAGAACTAAAAATACACCCAAACAACTAAGCCTTGCATACACTATAATAATATAAATAATACATGTATTTGTGTCCCAGTGACACAAACAAATCCTTCCTTGGGTGAAGTTGGGTGAAATGTGATGGAACAGGAAACAGGTTCACTATTACACATCACTGTTTACTTTACATTTCAGTATGGATTTCTTTTAAATGTCAGTCCTTTTCTCTGAAACATTGGAAAACATGATTAGCAATCAAAATCTGTTGAAAAAAAAGTATTGGTAAATTCTAATTCAATAGTTTAATAAAGTATTTAGTTTAAGCTAAGTAAACATCACATTAAGCATGGAAACCTTCACCTTTGGCTTTTCCTGCTTGTAAACTGTTTTCACCTCAGGCCTTCACCACCGCAGTCAGTACTGCACAAAAGTCCAAAGATTTTCCAGTCAACAGCCATTAAGTACAAATTATTCATTTTTTCAGAGGAGATTAGATATAAGATAATACATTTGCATAAGGAAGGGGAAAGTCAAAGGAAAATGAGTAGTTCACAAAACTGGAGTTAAAAAAATATTAATAGATATAGAGAAAATGATACTTCTACTAACTGTGTAAATACCAAAATGGTCACCATCACATAAACAGTACTTGAAGCTTTCATTCTGAGAAATAGGAGAAAATCAAGCTCCACTTTTCCTTCAGATCTGTAAAATCCATGGTGTTTCTGTCCATTCTTCCGTTTTAAGAAGACAAAGTCAACTATTTCTTAGATGTTGAGAAGCAGAAAATGCTTCTAAGACTGAACTTTGGAGGTGTGGAGGAATATTCCTGCAGAATAGAAAGTCTCTTTAAAAGAATGGAAGCTGTAATAAAGGCAAAGCGTAAATACTATAAATACTGTTTATGTTTTTTTTTCTGATATTGAAAAAAGAATAATTTTTACTTTTAGAGTGGCCTTGACTAGAAATCAAATAAATCAAGAGTGTTCTTACTGGCCTGCTGCTAGCCATGTGGTCAAAGCTTCAAAACAAGAACTTACTTCAGTCCTGAACAATATAGAAAATAAATGTATTTTCTCAGCTTACCTGTGGCTCTTCAAGGGTCATTCTCCATTTAAAGTGGGAATTCAGGTTGATACATTTTTAAACAAACCCTTTTATTCCAAAACTAAACAACCTTAAAATGTCCATTAACATCTCCTATTATCAAATATGTAAAATGGAGAGCCTAATTCCAAACATTTTATTATATTTTAGTGTAAAATGCAATGTTTTAATCAGTTTGTCTTACCTTAATGAGGCATTCTTTTTGTCATAAATTTATTTTTCCATTTAAATTTAACGTGACTGAATTTATTTGACATTCAATTTGAATAATCATGTTACCAAAGCTCTTTTATACACATGCACTAAAATACAGAAACACAGATGCCTTTTATATATTTTATTGTGATTCCATATACTGTTTTTTAATGAATAAATTGTTGTACAATAAATGCTGAAATTGAACTACTGAAATAAAAAAAGTGCAGAAATGTAAGTAATTTCAACATTCTAACATTTCAGACAATATTTCTTATCATAACAAATCTGTAACAGCAGTGACAATTTGTGACGATATAATGTTAATGCAGAAGTCCAAGTTTTTCGAGTCCAAGAGTTCAGAAACCTCTTCATGCAAACAGTACATACAGTAAACAAAGAAAAAGTTCACTACAAAACCTTATTTGTTTTTAAACTGTCCAGTCTGAGATCTCTTGTTTCTTGTCAAGTAAACAGCCCTGTCTGAATCTGTATGCTGTCTATACAACCTCTGCCTCTCTCCTGCACTTTGTTTGGTCATACCTAGCCAGGGTAGCAAAATGACAAAATAACTCACCGACTGAAATGTTGATAAAGATGAAATTTCTGTATTTACTAGTTTTTCAAGTTTTCTGATCATTCATGACAGTAACATTAGTCACTGGTGTCACTGGTGTTATATGAATACGGTGTAACACTAGTGACTGTGACACCAGAGACATTCTGGTTAAAACTGAGGATTTTGTAAATTGGCTGCCCTATCAGTGGTCAGGTGACCTTGTACAACTGCTTGACAAAAATTGAATTACCCAGTCATTAAAGCACATAACGCTTATATAGAAATTGCTGCCTGATAAACAAAATTATTAATAAATTCATGAAATATAATGAGCAAATATAGAGCATTGAGATGCTTCCTCTCAAATGAGCCTTGACCCAAGGAAGCAGTTTAATAGAGTTCAAAATACTATGTTAAAATATAATATGAGAGTCTTGATAACACCAGTGACCAAAATCTCTGACTGATTTTTTAAATAAGCTACATGTTTGTTTAATGTAGTATTATGTTAATGATGTGTATAATAAACATGAATCTGTTTTATACAATTACCTACATTAAACATTTTTAATATCATACAATATTTTTAAAATGTTTTCTCATATTTTGAAAACTGGTTATGTAATAACATGTTTTATATGTACAGCGATTATAAAACATAATAAAAAAAGAAAATCAAAGAAAGCATATAAATGTTTATACTGACTCTTGGCATTGAGCCTAATATCTTAAGCATCTTTTTAAGCCCTGCAACCTTTGTGACATGGTTTCCCACTCCAAATGGAGAGTGACCCTCAAACACAACACACTCACAAAGGACTGAATTTTATTGTTTAAATGTGATTAGTTTATACAATGTCACTTTAAATGGACCCAAATGCCAATTCCACACTGGTGTCAAATGAGCTTCGGGACAAAGTTCTGCAGGGATTCGCATATTCCCTCTTTTAACACTCTTGAATTTAACTCAGAAAGGCCTGGCTAATTACATTTCCCAGGAACTATGATTTTGAATACTTTCCAGGAACTATGGTTTTGAAGAATTTATTTGAAAGGCAAATAAAGTTGATGCTGTCAGGGCTTTGGAGCATTTTTGGAAGTCAAATGAAGATTACAATACATTTCTATTGGGATAAGCTGAATGTACCTGATTGTTATGTAATATTGTATGCAGATAGGTGCAAAACTGGTACTCACTGCTTCCAATATTGCCTGTGCTTCAAACTAGCTGCTGGGAAAACAATACTTCCCAAAAAAAGGAGAGCAGAGCTGCTGTGGATATTGTGCACAGAGTAAAAGAAGAATGGAGAGTCTGTTATCAGTCAGAGACTCAGGCAGACCTGGAACCCTCTAACATCATGTCTGGCACTGGAGAATCTCAGTTCAGGAAGATGCAATTTGCCTTTTGTTTGTATGGAGAGTACTTCTGAAGAAACCAGAAGAATTCTATAGATATGTTTAGATTATATTTTTAATCTTAGTCCGTTTGCTACGACTTAACACAGTATAGAGATTGATATATATGTAATTTTTATGGGAGAAGAAACATACTGCTATCAAGAAAGGTAAGAAAATGTTTATTTTAATGATTCTCTGATTATAGAATAATGTGGCTCAGCACTTGATTTAATACAAAACTAAACGAAAAAGGTGTGAATGCAAGCTGTTCGCCTTAAATATATCCATCTATGTTTAAAATATTTGAAGCTGCACTACCTCTAAGGCAGGTGTTCAGTCATGGCTTCAGGTTTTCATTCCAACAAGCAGAGGCACACCTGACTCCACTTGTTTAATCACTTGATCAACAACTGATCTTGTTCTCCTGCTTTGTATGAATGAAGCTTCACAGCCACAACAGCCCTTTGCAGATAAGATTGGACACCCCTGCTCTAAGGAGAGAGTCATACACTCACTGTGGGTATGTGAGGTAGTTAACAGGATTCACAAAGAATAAATCACAAAACTAGAAAACTAAACACTTGGTAGCCAATATTTTAATGCAGTTCTTTTACTTTTTAATAACTTTATATGATTATTCTGAAGCAGTGATTCCATTTAGCATTCTTCCATGGTCTTAATGTGCAGGTTAGAGTAGATAACGGAGACTTGCACAGTAAAATGGACTTCAAGTACTTCAATGTTCAATTAAAGTAACATAGAAAGTAATGAACTTACCTTAAAACATTAAAATTAATTTGACAGTTCTGTCTGAGTGTCATGTGCAGAGGTGGAAAGTAACAAATGACAATTTTTCCCTTGTAATGGTACTTTTTAAAATAGAATTAAATAATAGTACTTCTTACTCATATCAGAATTCATTTGTAATTAAAGCAATAAGCTACTAGAGGCCTTATTATTAACCCCCTCGAAACATAACGTGATAAAATACACCCATTTTTCAATAATAATTTATCAATAATAGTCGGCACTTATTCTGCCAAGAAATGTAATTCCTTTACAGTGTGTTGCCAAGCAACCATTAACTGCTGAAAGAGGGCAACAGCCAGTACTCAATCACTGCATACTGCAGTCACTTTATTAACATTTGCTATATAGCTCCCGAGTGGCGCAACCGTCTAAGCGTTGGCTCTATCATCAGGAGATCGCGAGTTCGATCCCTGGTGATGCTACAACCATCCGTAGCCGGGAGTCCGAGAGAACACAATTGGCC